ATATCACAACTTATTATATATCTTAACTTTTTTTGAACTAAGTAATAAAAAATAAACAGATTGTATACAATTTTCTTACAAGTAATTTAAATTTCAACACAGGTACTTTTCCCCAAAATGATGCCTCCGAAGCTCATTATTTTTCCTCGTTAAGAAATCTATAGGTTACACATCTATGGAGAATAGTAATAACAAAAGAGTTAAAATGCGGAATCTTTAGGTTCATGATAATTTTATGAATTTATTTGAGAAGTAAAACTTAAATATTGTATTCTATTTTTACAGTACATAATATTTAACATGACTTGTACATTTGCAATGTTTTGATAGGAAAAGTTTGGATTAGGGGACTATTTGGAGCGTCGGCAGTGCAGTTGGCGCTTGACCGGATCATATTTTACATATCCAGGTACGATCTCCGCTATATAGTAATGAGTTCTTCGAATTTCATGATAACATCCATCAGACATTCTTACTGTAATTACAAATTGCATACAACTGCATAGAAATTCAAAGATATGTGCGAAGTCAACCAACCCTCACTGGCTCTGCATTGTTGAATAAGACCTAGTCGCATTCTTGAGGGTAGGCTCCGAGCTCCTCAGTGGAGTATAGTGTGTCCGTATAGTGAGCTTAATGATGACGATTTGTTTTGCTTCAATGCATATTGTCTTGTTAGCAATTTTCTAAATATTTTACCAACAGAGAGGAGCTAATCTCTTTCCAGTGTTATTCTATTTCTCAAGACAAGAGTGGCACTACTACTCCAGTTCTATCAGAAAATATGATCTATCAAATAAACAAACTGGAAAAAATAAGCATTTATCAAAGTTGGGGTATTTTGTTGGTGAACTAAACAATAATGGTATTATTACGAAAGCAATGAGCATTATGTTGCGTTCTTAAAATATGTTCGCTTTAGTCAGAAGATTAAATAAAGTTGCAATTAACGAAATTGTTTTATTTTTCCAAAATTATTTCCCTCGAATAATACTTTCAAACGTCAAAACGGAAATTGACAGATTGATTTTTTTTAGGTTGGTAGCAACGTAGACTTGTTCATAATATTGCTAGCATTGAAAATGTCAATTTTTATTCTCCGTTTGTGTATCTAATTAGTCAAGAGTCCCGTCTCTTATTTTATATACTCTTTGGTCCCGTCTCTTATTTTATATACTCTTTGGTTAATTTGCTAATGTGATTGAACGTATTAATTTAAATAGTAAGGACTACTTTCTTTCTTTCAAACTTAAATGAGCATTCGTATCAATGTCGAAAAAGCTGTTATAAGATGCTTGCGGGATTCAGCTGTAAAACTGTCATAACAAAGGATTTGTAAACGATACTATTCTTAAAACCGTTCATGGTTCCGTTTCCTCTTCACTTGCTGTCAAAATTTGAGATTTGTTTACATTTCAAGCTTAAGATATTCCTTTGAAAAAAGGATGGCTGTAAATCCCATTAAATATTTAAGTAAAGATTTAATTAATAAACCAACACCTCTGGACGTGTGGCTACAAGGAACTATTGAACAAACTGTGGGTAATGATATATTAATAATCTCAGATAATTTTGGAAAAGTGAAAATAACAAAATTGGAATCGGCTGATGGAGTCGTGGATACCAAGAGTTTATGCAAAGTTAAGTACAGCATATCAATTCATTTTAATAATATTCCTTTAGAACTACAGAAACACAGAACTCATGTTCTTGCTTATTTAAAAACATGCATAATTCCGCTAGTATTATATGTTTATAATTGGTACATTTCTGTCTACAGGCACATATTGTTGCATAATAGGTGTGGCAGTAAACACTAAAGGTCTTCCAGAAGTTCAGGCCACTAAATTTATAGACCTTAGTATGCAGCCTCAAATGAAAATGTCTTGGGAGACTGAAGTACAAGAAGCACAATTACTAATACAAGGAAAAATTTTACCTACAGTCAAATAAAAACAGGTAACGTGTTTAAGAGCAGTGTGATGAGTGAAATGACAGAAGAAATATGTTTTGGAGAACAAAAGCTTCGTTTTGGTGACCATATGTGGGTGGGACAGGTGGGAAGGGCAGGGAGATGACAATGAATTAAATAAAATATTTTTTTTATAAAACAAAGTATATTTCCCCAACCTCTACAAATATAATCTGGAATGAAGTATATAAAATATTTATTTTTACCTTTATTTAAACTGTGGATACATTCACATAAATGATATTAAATCTCTAAATAATTATTTTAACTTTTATTTGAATGTATGAGTAGTGCAAACTCATTGTGACAATAATTTTTGCATTATTACTAATTAAAGTTCTTGCATTTTATTAACTCATCATATAAAAATCTAGTAACATTCATATCTATCATTTTTCTCTCAATTTAAAGTGTATAAATAATTAAAAACATATATGTAAATCATTATTTAAATCAAAATATATAACATATACTACTTGCAATATAAATTTCAAATAACCAACAAAATTGTTATTACAAAATGCCTATGTAAAATGCCTTTATTACATGCACTATACAATAGATGTAGATCTTGAACACATATTAATGAAAAATTTAATGTATATCATCGGTTTTTAATCAAACTATTAACAATAAGTCACAAAATTGTAATGTACAATTGGGTAATCTTGCGCTGTTTGACCTATAAGCAAACAGTTGTTCAAACATTGTGTACACAATGATACAAGGATGTATTATTATCAATAACCAATTAGATGCACCTTCAAATGTGTGTACAATAAAAGTCAGTCAGTGATACATGTCTTATTGCTTTTTGTTTACTTAACTCATTGCTAATTAATTCTTTATTTGTACGAAAAGGTGGAGTTTGTCTCGTTTCAAGAGACAAGGCAATGTTTCTGTATGTAGCATCCGCAGATTTTCATTTTCATTTTGTGGACTTTAAAATGTCTATTTAATTTGGACCGACTTAAGGTTTTTTTTTATTTTTAGGCTAGCTAACAAAACTGTTTGTGATACCACACCATTATACCTATATAATAACCAAAATTACATAATGAATTTACCTTATATCTATTGTGTTATATTTTGAATGTAAATATTGGAATTAACAACCCATATAGTTATTTATAGTTTGGATCCGGATTTTAAAAGAGGTCCCAGTTTCTGAGCGAGCATTAAGTTGCCTGCAATCTTCAGCTTGCCCTTCAAGAATGCGGTTTGTGGGTTGAGGGTACCGGATGCTAAAGCTATGAGGTCTTCATCCGATAATGTCATAGTTGTATCCGGCTTACCACTTTTTGGTGCACCTTCATGGACTAAACCAGCCTTTAGGTCCAAAGCTATATGAAAAAAAAAAACAATATAATAAGTACAGTAAACACTTTGCCTATTTAAATTAAGGATCAACAGTTATTGGTAAAATAATGTTGTCCCCACTGCCCAGCAGAAAAAGGATATTCTTCCTTCTATCCCATCTTTTTTCAAACATATTTCCTGTCCCCACCCTTTTATAAATAGAACATATTAAATAATAATTTTAATACTTACTCCATTGCTTCACAGTCTTTCCATTCTCAGTAATATTGTAGAGGAAGACAGCTCCAATAGATTTAGCAAGTGATGGATTAGCTTTGACTTGTTCATCAATCTTTGCGAACAGTCCATCACTTTTCAAGGCAGATGATGATTGTTGACTGGGAGCAGCCGATGCTGCGGTATCACTCTTAACAACTTTCTTAAGATCGACAAAAGCACCTGAATTAAAACAATATTTGTAATTAATATGCAAGTATGTTGATTGCTATATGAAATTTTTAATTCTGGCATACTACGAATAAACAAAGTTATGAAATGTTAAATTTTACCTGAAATAACAACATTGCCGGTTTCCTTAGTCTTTGTCTGGAAATGTACACGTGTACCCTCCACCCACATCTCAGTGACGAGAGTCTGTCCCGGGAGCACCGGCTTAGCGAAACGTGCCTTCACTGCCTTCACCAGAGATGAATCGTTACCGCCATATCTACGGAATTAAAAATAATATGTAGGTTTTGTTGTATTTCAACATGATCTCTGCCAGCATGCTTGTTCTTGAAGTTTACTTAAATATTTTAGTAGCACTGGATATCTTAGGAATTAATGATTGTAATGGAGTTTGTCTCGCATAGCACAAAGCAGTTTTTCTGTAAGTGAAACACTGCGAAGAGTCCTGACTGTACCCAAGTTCATTTTTACCATCACCTGTATCACTTTGCAAGTATTTTAATTTGTTAATTATGATTTTTTAAGAAACACTATAGTTAAATGTATTATCATAAAGTTTTCATAACAGGCGATTTCATATTTATTTTGTCTTGCAAGTGCATTTATAAGTATAAATGGAAAATAAATGATTGTCATAACACTTACTTGGCTAGAACATGTCTTACGGAGAATCCGAGTGAAGCAAGGCCGTGTAAGATCGGCTTCTGATGTCCTGCAGCTGTCGCTACGTTGGGGTCGATGTGCAACGGGTTCAGATCACCTGACAATCTGAGTTAAATAATTTTATAATGATTATATTCCAGTACAACGATACTGACGGTTATTTCTACTTCTGAGTGTTCCCGTGGTTTTTACGTTAAAGTATACAGACGACCAAAAATTTTTTTTTGATCATTGACACCTGTGTTTTTCGATTTAAAATATATTAGAACATTTACTAAAATAGTGTTTCGAAAGTGTAATATTAACCTGTAGAGTGCCGCTTGGTCTTCGCTAGTCTTCTGCTCAACGACGGCATCAGGCGCTCGCTTGGGCGCGGCGGCCACGTTCACCGCCTTGTTGCTGTTACGCGGACCTCCGAACCCTCCCTGACCCAGCACGAAGATGTGCTGCTGAGTGCGCAATACCAAACTCTTGTTCTGGAATATCTCACCTAAGGAAATATTTGTGATGTGCAGAATTAAAAAAAATAGCCGATAACATGCCCGCACACATCAGCTACCTTCCAGGGAAAGTCCCGTCAAAATCGGTCCCGCCGTTCCGAAGATTACCCAAAACAAACGTGGCTTGCAGACAGACAAACAGACAAAAATTTAAAAATCGGTTTTTCACTGTAGGTAAAGTAACACATACACGAAATACTTTTTTTTATTTTGATATCAGATACATACAGAGAAATTTTATCATGTGTTTATACTAGCGGTCGCCCGCGTCTCCGTCTGCGCGGAATTAAATAAAAAACTTAGTAACCTCTGTGTTCTTCCAGATTATGTTCTACATATATGCCAAATTTCAGCAAAATCCATACAGCCGTTATGGAAATACCTTCTAACAAACATCAGTTCATACGTCCATACATTCGCATTTATAATATTAGTAAGATAAGATACTGACTGTTGACAATGGCCACAGCACTTGATCCCTTGTCGAGGATATCAACCACGTAGTTACGTATTGTGAACTCTCCCTCAGTGCCGGGGAAATCGCTCACAAACTCAATATATTGTTCACCGTGGAGGATCTAAAACAATTTTTATTAAACTATTAATATTATTATTTTACTAGATTAAAGACTTTATCCTAAATAAAACGTAGTCTCGTAGCTATTTCTGACTATTCTCTTGTCCATTTAGTCGTTCTGCACTTTCATCTACCTTAAATGGATAGAGTGGACGTAAGCAGGATATTTTCCCTACCCATAACCTTCTCTGTCTAGTCAAATTTCCCTCCCCAACCCTTTCTTATAATCAAAGAGAATTAGAATTTGGCGTGTTCTTCGCTATCTTTTCATACTTACGTTAGTAAAATCTGCATGCTTTCCTGGTGGCATTGACTTGCCAACAACGGGCGACTCCATCACCATCCCCGGTAATATAAAGAAGGTTGGCAATGCGGAAAAGTTTTCATGGCTCTCGTACAAGAATTTCAAATCGCTAGCATTAACGACGGAAGCTCCAACTAGAAAAATAAATAGTGTTTTCTTAGTAAATATGTTGCCGGCTCGACGTCACCGGCACGCTGCGTAGTGCCCTCCTCCACAAGTTGCTATGTTCCGCTACACCTAACATTGAGTTATGCGTAGCGACTCGCGCGAAGTTAAATACCGCCAAAATATCTGACAACTACTGTACTTACTGAAAATAACGTGTTTATTAAAAAAAAACATGTAATGTCATGAGTCGCGATCATACGGCCTGAGAAAAAACAACTTTAAAGAATAAAACTGTCAAATTCTGTATGACACAGAGTGAAAGGGACGACAATATACATTAATACAAGTACGTATCAACTTTTTAAATTAAAATTAAAATTTTACTTATAAAATCAATACAACAAAATGCCTACACTCATAAACCAATTGATAAACGATGATAAATTCGCCTAAGTCCTATTTCCAATGACGCGCTCCCAAATGCTATACAAAATGAATGCTTGCCACTAAGTGGAAATAGACCTTAACATTTGACCTTCAGTGTTCGTATTTTATAAAAAGGTACACCATGGACATAGTACAATGACCTTGAATACTTATATAATTTGCTTACACAACATAAGTATTTTATCAATGAAGATTTGATAAGATATTTTTATCAGGTATTTAACAACAAAGATATATTTTTATTATCTTTGTTAATACAATGCAATATTTTTGTAAAGTCATTTTATAAAAATGTATTTATTATTCTAAATCTAAAGATTACTAACATTGCTTAAACTCGTAAAACAGTAAAAACGGTTTTTTTTATTATTTCTCAACACAAAATATGTAACTGAAAGAATTAAATAACGTAGCGGAAACGAAAATTAAAATATCTCGGTTTACATAATTTAAAAATAATAGTAGCCGCCCATTGTTCGAAATTCGAATTTAATTCAAAAACAAAGTTTTTTTTTAAATAGTACGCCTCGAATTTAACTGTCATTTCACGTAGACGTGTTTGCTCAAATTCTTAAAAGGACTACAACGATTTTCTTCACATAATAATATGATATTAAATAAGACAATGCTCATAGTAACAAAAACTATCGTTCAAAGTTCAAGGATGAACTTATTGTTTCTACAGAAGTAGACTTAATATTTATAAAACATTTTCACATTGTACATTTATAATACAATGACGTATTATTGTTATACGAGAATAATAAGTTTAACCATTCATTGTCAATTATAATGTTTGACGAAACAATATTATGCGTATTGTTCCGTACATAACATATATGAGATTAAATAAAAATTTAAACACGAATAACTTCAAACGAAAAAAAAGTAAAAAAGAAACTAATTAACCTAGCGTCACACGAAAAAAAAAGTAAAAACTAACAGACAAAAAATAACTCCAATAGCATCAAACGAAAAAAGTAAAAAAATCTAATTAAAATAACCTATATGAGTTTAAATAAAATTTAGTACTCCACTGGCGTTAAGAGAAAAAAAATTAAAAAAATCAATTAGCCAATAAAAAAACTTACTGCCAAGAGCATACAGGGCGAGATCCTTAGCATTATAATTGTAAGTTGACCAATACGCTTCATTTGCACTATCTAACTTGCTTCGTTCTTCAAACTCCTGTGAACGAAATTTTCTTTTAAATTATCTCTTTTTGTGCCACTAACAAAGTTAAAAAATGATTGGCAACATATATCCTCAAGTACTGTATACCACTCACCTGTAATTTTTCAACCAATTCCACGGTGACTTCGGCTAATTTCTCCTTGTGGGTTGCATTATTCATGTTAACAACTTGAGGCCAGGCCTCCTTTACAGATTCTATTGTCACTAGATCCGCAGGTTTCTTCCTGAAAATTTTAAAATATGACTATTTAGCTAATCTAAACGTCTCCACGGAGAGGCTCGGAGCCTATCCTAAGTTAAGATTGACTTGGCCATAGTCAACCACGCTGGTCCACTGCGGGTTGAATACATACATATCTTTGAATTTCGGACGAAAATCGGATAAATGTACATATGTAAAATCTCAAAACACATTGGTACATGGTAGGATTCAACCCACGACCTGCGGATTATAACTCAAGTGATTGTTCCTGAGCCACCAGCGCTTCTATGACAAAATACCACTTATTAAGAGTTCCAATATTTTGAGTATGATTCTTAGCTTATTTGGCACTAAGTAGGTTTACAACTCAAAGAATATTTATATCCTGTATTCTAAGCAAGTTACTTAAAGAAGGTTTTCAAAGTATGTCTATAGAAAAACAATTATTATAAATAAAGTCACTAACTTTAGCACGGCTCCTTGCGATCGTACAAGATGTGTTTTGTTGGCGAAACCCAAAGTAGAATCTATAACACTGCCATTATCCGGGAAAGATTCATGCGCCATGTAAGCCTGTAAACAATCATTATTGTAACTCAACATACCGATGACTCTTACGTAAAAGGTCGAAATTGTCATTTTCCAGTTATTATCACAGTTAGTTTATTTTGCCGTTTACCTATAATTAAAGAAAAGCCAAAAATATTGGGTACATCATAAAACTTTAAGCAAATAGGTTCATAAGACCAAATGGCCACTTATCCGTAATAGTGACAGACAGTTATGGTAAATTGACCTGTAAATTCTGATTTTTTTGTTATTTATGGCAGTTTACGTAAAAGCGATCGATAGATTGTCTTGAGATGGAAAACTTTGTACATACCACAACAGGAGCGATGAGGTCAGGTTTCATAGCTTGGAACATCTCCGGTGGCAGAATGTCTTCGGTGAGACGAGAAGCGGCGGTGGGTACAATCGTGTTCACCTTGATGTTATATTTCGCACCTTCAATGGCCAAAGTGTTCGCTAGACCAACCAAACCCATTTTTGCCGCGCTGTTTAACAATTTTACTTATTTAGACTTCTCTAGGACATACAGTGGAAACTCTATATAACGTCGCTTAAGTTATCAAGCAATAGCGACGATATAAAGAGTGTACGTTATAGAGAGTGAAGTAAAATCTATATTATTTTTCTGTTCTGTGAGTGTGTTTGACGTAATACGAAGTTTATTAATGTATAAAAACAAGATAAGCCAACCAAACAATTCCGACGTTTTATGTAGTTCGACGTTATATCGCGTGACGTTATAAGGAGTTTAAATTGGATATGAATAGCATAAAGCTTCCTATTCGTAGTTATTTATAAAATTTGTATGTATGGTATTTGTATATACCTGTAGTTAGCCTGACCAAAGTTTCCGAAGAGACCGGCATTACTAGAGGTCATAATAACGCGGCCATATTTTTGCTTTCTGAATATTTCCCACGCCGCATGAGTTGTTTTGAATGCACCTTTCAAATGTACAGCTTGAATCAAATCCCAGTCCTATATGAATAAAAATAATCATGTGATTCATTGTTTTAGATATGTAATAGCTATCGCACGCGACTCCGTCCGCACGGAATTTAGTTCTTCCAGACTATGTGTATATCTGTGCCAAATTTCATTAAAATCTGTTCAGCCATTACAGACATACCTACAAACAAACATCCATCCATCTAAGCATTCGCAATTATAATATAAGTAAGATATATTGTTTATGGCCTGTTAACATTATAACAGCTAGATTACGCGTAGACGAAGCTCACGGGCTCCAGCTAGTAAAAAAAAATAATCAAATGAATTTTCATTATTTCAGTAGATATATAATTACAAAAACGTATTATCACCTGTTCGGACATTTTTGTGAAGCTTTTATCTCTGAGAATACCAGCATTGTTGATTATGATATCAATACGTCCAAAGTTATCTATAGCTGTTTTTATTATCTTCTCACCATCCACAACGGAGTTATAATCAGCAACGGCTTCACCACCTACAGACAAACAAGATAATCATAATCATATTAGGTATTAAAAAATTTATAGCAGAACAATCAAGTAGCTGATTGCCTGATATAAATTAACCTGATCCCATGTGGATATCTACCAGAGGAACCATAGATACATTGACGGCTTTTAGGGAAATTTAGACTTTAAATGGAATTTTGGATCCTACCCTGACAAAAATACAAATTAATTGTTGACTTATGATAACTACCATGTTAGTACTACTAATAAATTCTTTGCAATAGAAAAATGTTTTTAAATATTCATCCTTCTGACTATATATAAAATAAATAACAAATAATCATATATTTGCTAATTGTTTTATCCTGTAATATTATCTCTCAGATATATAAGCTAACTAGTAATATAACATGCATACAAGCATACTATAAGGTTGGTGTCAGTCATTGACTTGACCTTTAACTCAACAACACAATACTGCAAGAGCATACTAACATGGTACAAAATAATGTAATCTTTAACGTTTCAATTTATAACAATATCTTTCCATTTTATTTGGAATAAGTACTTTAAAAATAAAAATTGTTATTTACTTATGTACATAATATTATATAATGTCTACAATAGTTCATATAAGGATAATGTAATAAAATAGAGTATTTCCTTAAGATGTAACATATGTAACAGGATGAAATAGATGTTTCTCTTATGTATTTATATATTTGTGACAATTTGACCTATGTAGCCACTACTCCATACTTATCTTAATTCAAATACTAATGTCTGGTCTTATTAGGTAATAAGATCAAACTTTATCAGGCACATGTGCAAACATGTTTATTTTGTTACATTTACCAAATACCCATAAAAATAAAAGTTATAGTTAAAATAGTTTCAGCAAATAAATGTAATATTAATGAAATTATTTATTACATTTTCCATCATTAAAATATATAGAACAGATAAGGGCTGTGCATGTTATCTCCTGCATAATAAAATATAAGTACCTTTGCTTTTGATTTCTTGAACAACAGCATCTGCAAAAGTTGACTTTCCACTGCCATCCCTACCCCCTCCAAGATCATTGACTACCACTTTAGCTCCTCTTGATGCTAAAAGTAATGCGTAGGCTTTGCCCAATCCTCCACCGGCTCCGGTAACCACGGCTACACGTCCGTCAAAGCGAAGTTGCTCCATTGTCTACGAGAATTTTTATTTTAAATATAACGAATACAGCGCAAAAGATTCAAACTACTTTCATTAGGCTCTATATATCAATACAAAGGGTGCGAAGTCCAACTTGATGCGAAAATGAACTTGCACTTTTAGAAACTAAGTAAAAATTGTTGTAAAGATGTTTTGCTTGTATTAGTAACATTTATTAAGCCAAAATACTTTGCCTATTGCAAAATAGCATTAAATATGTATAAAAATAGAAATTATAAAGGGAACACGTGCGACAAACCTTTGCAATGAATATTGTATACTAAACTGGCTTGATGGTTAGACGGGTTTAATAAAATCCAGCAACAGTCGTATCGTCTCTTCAACGATAAATGATAATGATTGTCAGTTCAGTTGTCATTGTCATGACGTTTTCTTTCAAACCGTTTCCAGAAACAATTTTTTGTCGTTGTTGTTTCCACTGCTGGAACATTCTTTTTAAAACATATTGTCATCGCTCCTATTATCTTTGAAAAGACTAAGACAACAATATATTTATGTGAGGATATTTCGGTTGTGAACTGCCGTGGAAACCACTGCGTTATTTTTCTGCAGTCATTGGCTGGCTGTCAGCCAGTGACCATAGAGTAGTAAACTCAGATTGAACAAAATTGCCAAAAAAAACTAATACACTCTGGTCAAATATATTTACTTGGTATCTCTTTGTTCTTGGTAGAATTTGACAGTATTATTGATATAAACGTTATTTTGAATTGAAGCATGACAAAATAAATAAAATGTAACTATTTTGTATTAATAACAATACGTAAGCTTCATAAAAATATTGAGACTATTGTTGTACACGTTTGAAACTAAATATAAGGCAAATTTTCATATTCATGAAAGCAAATACATGAAGTTAACATTATGAACATACACAATAATCATGTTATTAACGATCCTTTAGCTGGTAAGTATAGATTTAAACTGTTTGGTGTTATTAATATGTTAATGTTATTAATATAATTCTGTTTTTAGTTATTTATAACGAAGGACACTGGCGACTAAGTAATGTGTCTCCTTTGTTTAACATACAATCAAATGCAATTAAATTTAAACAATATGCGTCAAAGATTCGTCAAGGTATAATAACTGCGATTCCAGCTAAGCCTGGTATAAAATTTACTGTAGTTATAGAGGCACAGCCATACTTGAAATACAATGAAGATGATCCAGAAGCTTTTATGGTATGCATTTCTTTATATCATGTTAAATGTGCTAACCAACTAGATCAAGCCTAGTCTTATTTAGTGATGGCTATGTTTAAGTTAACCACACTGACCCTTCATACACATCTTTGCAGATATGGACAGTATCCTTATGCTATTCTTTACAAAATTTGAATATGGAAAAAATGTTTGTATAATGCAGGCATTAAACTGAGGACCTTTACCTTTAGTTTACAACTCCATAACTTAACTCAGTTCACAGCTAATGCTCTTTGTAATTTATGCTGTTCTGTCTTAACCAATTTGTACAATTTATAGATCAATGTGTCATCTCAAGAAAGTAATAAATCTAAGATAGTATATACATGTATTCTTCTGTCTTGGGGAGTAACTATGAAAGTGCCTGAAAGTATACATCTGCCATTCATGCTGGAACATGGTGAGAAAAGGATTGGAGCATCAGTGAAGTCTACATTACAGTCATTGTTTGACTGCACAATTAAACAATTCTATTTTTCACAGGTATTGTTTAGTTTTATAGCTGTGGGCCACTACTCCGTCCGTGTGGAATTAAAAAAAGGTTGATTAGCCTATGTATCTTCAAGAATATGTTCAACATCTATGCCAAATTTCAGCGAGATCCATGCATTCTAGAGATATATTCAAACATCCATCCATCCATCCAAGCATTCGCATTTATACTATTTGTAAGATTGATTAGTTTTTTTAATTTGACAGAGAATCCCACATATGGAGAATAAACATGATAAAGAATGTATAAATTATCTAAATCTAGATAAATATTAAGAAGTGAAGCAACAAAATAACTTTATTGTTTCTTAGATCTAAAATTATACTTAATTTATTTAATATGTTGATAATTTTAATTTGCAGCATCAACTCTTACGATTTGGCTTTGGTTTTGTTGAAAATGATACATCACGGAGCACCGATCCATTCACATTATGCTTCTCTGTCTTAGCCGATCACAAGAATAAGCTAAGCTTATCATTTGAAGTTGGGGATGTGAATATGATTTGGCATCGGTAAAAAAAATTTTACACACAGATTAAATAAACTTTCTAAAAGTCTCAAATCAAAGTATAATGCATTTGTTTCATTTAAATTAAGTATAAAAATATTTTTTATCAATAATTCACAATTTATCGGAAGAAAATTGAATTTGTTTTTTTTTTTGCTTTGATTTGAAGTGTTTTAATGATTATTTGAATGTTTTAGAGCAAAGGGTGATTCTACAGCATCGTCAAAAACAGATAAATTGGCTTACCAGATATTGCAGAATCAGATATTCTTCTCAATGCAATTAGATGTGACACCTTTAGACCTATGTGAAATAAATCTCACCAAAGCTGAAGTGAAATCAGATGGTATAGTCAAAATGAAGACTCCGGAACTTGTGAATTGTGTATTTACAGTGCTGAATGAAATTATTAGTTCACAAAATGTTACAAATAATAATGCTGTTGAGTTATAGTGCATACTTTATGTTCAATGCTATAAAATTGTCATAAATCGTGTTTGAACAAACTTGTAGGAAACTCGATAATTGTATTGGTTATCTTGCTAATATTATAAATGCGAATGTTTGGATGGATGTTTGTTTCGTTAGTATCTTCAGAACTGCTGCATGGATCTTGTTATAATTTGGCATATAGAGAACAGATAGACTACTAAGTTTTAAATTCCGCGCAGATGGAGTCGCGGGGCACAACTAGGTTATATATAAGGTTATCTTTTTTGCAATGTAATTTTTCTGTTACTGCAAAAATTAAAACTATATTGTTAATGTATAAATTAATTATATTAGATATATGGAATAAATACAAGTCTGAGTATTTTTTTACCTTTTTTAAAAATAAAGTGAATTGTATTTTTTTTACTTTGAATGAAGTTGAGGATTAAATAAATACAACTTGAATTTTATAACATTTACTTTGATGGATTACGCTTTACAAATGTGTGTTGCATAATGTAACCTTATATATTAGCTTACTACATTACATGTGCTAAACTTAAATATAAACAATTTCTTGTAATCATGTCCTGTTGAGTTGCAAGCAGTCCTTTTACTTTCCTTTACTTTTAATTAAATAAATTTTAAATTGTTCTTGTGCAAAAGTTCTGTAGGCCTTCACAAGTTTACGTCATGTTTTAAGAACAATACAGTAGCAAACAGGTTAATTATTTTATTAAATAAGGTACTAAAAAGGTAATATAGGTTAGTACATAAACTTTTATGTAATTAACTGGAATTACATAATGTCATCACAGCAATTTCATTTTGTGTTATTGTTATAACTTAAAACTATAAGTGTCTCTTGACCTGAAATTTATGTGTAAATTATTTTTTTAATTATATATTAATATGTAAATTATATAATACATATAAAATAAATGATTCGAATAGCTTTCTTGAAAATATGTGTGTTTCTTCCCAAATACATATTGTCGTATTTTCTTTTAGAGTTATCACATATTTAAAAACATAAAATATTGACTGTTTTTAATAAACATTAAATTAAATTACGAACTCAAATTCTGTAATATTTTTAAATTATAAAATAAAATATTGCACTCATATAATGAAAAATAGTATTGATAATTGCCTAAACACACAATTAGAGATTTCTGGTTATGTTTAACTATCTTGGTTTGGCATATTTTAAATTGTATTTGAAATTCAAATACACATATGTATATGACAATTTTACAATATAACACATAGTACATAAGCATACAAAGACTAAAAAGCTTTTTAAAACAACATATACAGTTCAATAATTTTCCACTCCTGGTCCGATGTTAACATGTTTTATTATAATTACTCTCGTAGAACTGTTACACAATAAGATTTGAAACTTATGTCTTAACATTTATATCTTACCATTATGTACTATATAGAATGAGAAACTGCATCTACAATGTAAATAAACACTTAGATAGGGATAATAACTGTATTTAATTTTGAATCCATCTAAATTAGTCTGTAAACTATTTAAAATGTCGAGAAATAGAAAACTGCATATATTTTGTAAGATATTGAAATCAGTTGTGTATAAAAACTAGTTTTAAATACTAATGTCGCGTTGTAAGCACATATGAAACGATTTTACGAAACAATGTCTTGCCAGAGTGGCATTACTAAAATTATAATGAATGCAACATATACCATAGCGTACATACATATCCTAATAAATCCGGCACACGGTAAATTTCCGACCATAGTTTGTTGCACACAGCTGCACTCCCTCTGTAAACAATAATTTTATAAACGGATAAAACAAAAAATATTAAATTAAATATTTCTCAAATCCAATTTAAAAAAAAAACTAAGACCACTTACAATAAGTCTGTACTATCTAACCATGGGTAGGGGTTGCCACTATCAAATCTATGCATGTGTTTTTTTTAATAAATAGTTATGTACATGTACAGGTGTTATGGCTGTGAAAGACTTTGTAATTCTAGTATTGTGGTTACTAATATAGGCTAATATTGAGTGTCATACCTCTGCTGAGCCCACTAGGAGCCAACCTGTCCGCCTCAGTGTGTGCAGCGCAGCACCTAACAGCAGCCGCCGCCCGCCGCGCCTGCGCCCGCGCCACCAGCGCCGCTCGCGCCTCCGCCCGTAGAGTGCTGCGGACCGATCTTGATGCCATTTGCCTAAAAAATATTAATATATAGTAATGTTTTAATTGCTAATAGATTACTAATATAGCAAATATTTAAAGTTAAATATAAAATATATAATTAAAAAGTATGATCTCTATACTTGCACTACAAAGAAATGGAAAATAACTGTACTAGTTACCTCATTGTTGATATCAAAAACGCCTTCTTGTATTTTCTCATAAATCTCTTTTGCAGTGTTGATAAAGGCCTCTTCAACATTTGCAGCAGTCTTGGCCGATGTCTCCATGAACACAAGGCCGTGTTCACGTGCAAATGCTTCCCCCTCCTCTTTCTTTACTTCACGTCGAGATTCCAGATCACTGGTAATATATACTACAGATTAGAAATACACTCAGAGTGTATACATTTTTTTATAAAAACATTCAGTGTCACTGACTAATCTGGTAAGTTTATTTCCATACAAAAAATTGTAGTAGCACTGGATACTTTACCTCTTGTTACCAATTAACATGATGACCATATTGGAGTTGGAATGCTGCCGGGCATCTTCAAGCCAAGTTGTCAAATGGTTGAAGGTATCCCGTCTAGTTATGTCATAAACTAGAAGTGCACCTGCCGCACCTCTATAGTATGACCGAGTTATTGACCTATAAATGTTACATTTTATAAGATATTTTATTAGTGAAAAACCTTTTGACAATAATCCCGTCCGGGATTAAATGGTGATGTGGCTGAATGATGGCACTTGTACACCCAGTATGTCTTTTAGCACTACCAGTGTTCTGATTGAGATTTCTAAGGCACCTTTTTAATGATGCCTTGAGAAAGAGGTGATGTGAAACTATGTAATCCGCAGATCTATGGTAGCCCTTTTGTCCATGCCGACCCTAAAGCCAGTTTTATCTAACCCCTATGTTTACAACAAACAATTTCAGAATTTATTCATAGATTTTATGTTTGTTTCCTTACATTTCATTTGTGTTACACAACTATGCTATTAAATAAGCATAAATTTATAAATTGGAATTGTATATTGAAAATTTGCATAGATACTAAGCTTATATTTTTTTAGGCACATAATTTTGGCCAGTGCAAGCTTGTTGAGACACTTATTAAAAGAAATCTTTGTTGTAAACAACTTATAAATAAAATGTAATATTTAAACAATGAATAAAACAATTAGGTCATTGAATTCTTATCAATACTTTGTTTACATATGTATTATTGTAGCTCTAGTAAGTCTTTGTTTGACTACCTGAATGCCTCCTGGCCAGCAGTGTCCCAGATCTGTAGCTTGATTTGTTTACCATCAATTGTAATCATGCGGGCACCAAACTCCACACCAATAGTGAGATCATGTACTGGTTGGAATCTCTTGTCTGTGAACTGCAGCAGTAAACATGACTTGCCCACACCTAGACATATTTTTACGTAATTTAAATGCTTTGTACTACATGTTCAATTTGCTGTTTTCATACTATTATTAATGTTCAATGTATTTAAACGAAAAATAGTGCAGCCAATTAAGTTAGCCAACAAATCTTTAGTGATAGAACACAAAGAATACCCTTGAACGATAAAGTAATAAGTTTACATTTATTTGCGCAACGTTTTTGGTTCGATTTGATACAAAGATTATAGATGAGCGTAGGCGGAACACAAAAGGTTTTACGATAGCCTATCATCCCTTTAGTATTGTAATTCTTTATTCTGCAATCTTAAATAACGACGGTTTTTTACTTTGACGAAGATATGAATAATGTAAAGTAAAATTTAAACGGTTTACAGAATCGAAAAGCAAAAATGACAATGAAGAAAATTTTCAGGAAATAAAATCAATACCTGTGTCGCCAATGATGATGTATTTAAACAAGTAGGCGTATGCCATTTTCTCCTGGTTATTCTGTTATTATTACAAAGAAAATGTAAATTTAGTATATATAACACTCTCAATACCGAATATTACAATTACGATACGACGCAATTTTTATTAATCTCACAGCTGGGTTGATTCAGTATGTCATTGTAAAATTTGTGAAAACTGACAATGAGACAATGAGTGAGTGGAGCAGACCATAGATTTAAGGATAAAATTAAATGGCATTGCCAATGCTTGCCTACTGTTTGGCAATACCAATATATTTTATTACCAATAAAATTTGAATCATTATTATCTCTTTACATTTAACTTTTCTATACATCGTTATCATATTACTAATTTTAAATTAGATTATACTAACGTTTCCTATAAAGCTAAACCCTTTTAACCTTTGACTATAGAAAAACGGACTAAGCCAAGAGGCGCCCGCTACTTTCTTCTAAATAAATTTTGCACTTTTCGCAGGGGGTTAGGTAAAGGTACACAGCATGCTGACACTTTTATAAAATTGAAACATGCTTTGCGTGCGCTTTTAGAGGTCCTCTCTCAAAAGTAAGACCTGTACATGTATTGATATAAACAATTAACTATATCAATGAGATTAGTTCTGCGCCTCCAAATTCACAGACAAACAAACAAATATAAACAGGTGAAAATATGCGTATAGATAAGTGTAGTATACTCTGTGTATTAATATGTTAATTAATTTTCGTCTATGGTGATCTTTGCTAGCTGTCAATTATATTGTTCTTCAATGGTTTGTTTTTATTTAATGAAATAATTAATTCCAATCAGTCTTAGTGGCAATTAAATGAAAAGTGGTAAAGATACAAATATGAAATTGTAACGTACCGTGTCTGTTTTTTCTTTACAATCATTTAAAAGTGCCATCATTTGTTAACCTTAAACCTACAATGCCGACAAATAACAAGTTGTGTTTGTAATAATGGATTCTTCGGATGATGCGGCATCTGTTCGAAATCCTATTAAAGAAGGATGTGAAAAAGAGGCAAGTAAGGAAAATAAATGCATAGATAGGCCGGTGAGCCAACTCGTTGGGATTGAAAATGTGTTTACATCAATGTCACAAGAACGAAGTTCTAGTTTTGTTCCAGTAAATGGTTCTCGACCTCGGTCGAGTGATGATTCTGAACAAAAGGTTAACCGAACAAAGGAAAATATTTTACAAAATGATACGATTGGAAATACAATTGACGGAAATCAAAAGCAAGTGGCAAATAATGCGATAAATAAATTTCACAATATTGAAAGTCCAAGTAAAGTTGAATCAGCCTGTGATAAAAGTTTCGATTCCAACTGTGAGAAATCATGTCAGAGGTACAAAATGTATGCAGATAAAGTAGGCAACAGTAGCTGTGTGAATGGTCCTTCAACAAGTGGCACAAATAAATCTTTTGATAATATTGAAAGTGGTGGCATTCGAGAAAACAGAAAACGACCTTCAACACTCAGGCTAGACAGACCAAACATAGATGACAATGATAGTTCAAGTGACACTGGTAATGATGATTACTCTTTGGGCTCTGAAGATGGCTGTATTTACACATATAGGGGAGGTGAACACTTGGCAGATCTACCAAGTTCCTTTTTTAGCCTAGACATGGGCTTGCCTTTAGATAGGCATCTCCCATTGCTTCCAAATTATCCAGTCCCTCAGCAGGGGCCAGGGAATGCCAGGGAACAAGGCTCAAGGGCATCCAGTCCGGATATGGATTTTTTGGAGATGGATTTCGATCCTGGGCCATCCTGTGAAGTTGATACAGATGATGAATCAAGCCCGGATGCTGATTTAGAAGTGGCAAACAGTTTGCCAGAAGAAATTGAACCGGTAATTAGGGGTACCACACCAGAATATTTGCCTAATCCTGTTGTAAATCCTCAACCATCTACCAGTACAGCACATAATGATGTTGAAACACATAGTCTAAGTGTCCCATCTACAAGCTGTGTTCAGGATTTGCCCCAAAGAAATATAGAAGAAGAAGTAACAACAGATCAAGAGTATGGACCCTACATCACACATGTAAACTTTAGGGGTGAACAGTTTTTAGTCAGAAGGACAATCTCAAGTTGGCCAAGTAATACACTGTCAGGGTTACATGTGTCCAATGGAGATTTGGTATCACCAAGAGAAGTAATAAATTGTGAGTAACATTTTAAATTTAGTTACTATTTAAGTATTGTAGTTACTTTCCAATAATTTTAACCCCTTTTGAACCAACTTTCCATTGATATATTGATATATAAACACGGCTAAACACTCACGTATATTCGTCCGGTGGCGGCACCGACTAGTTTCAAGCCCATCGGGGGCACTTCATCAGGATGAGTGGTACTGGTATTATTTCGCGGACGCGGCCCGTCGCTCACTGAGTGTTTAGCTGTGTTTATATAATATATCAATTTAGTATAATGTCTCACGAAATTTGAATAATTTAACAACTTTCCATGTATCTTATTGTTGTTATCTCCACTTTACCTTCCATGAGGATTCTCAGGGTCTTTAATTATACTAAAGATTATGCATTGGAATGTAAATAGATCTATTAGTGCCATTCTGAATTCTTTAGATCTGTGTATAAAAGGGTATCAAACAAAGTATTATTTTTTAATCAAATGTCTGTTTTTATTTTCTTTTAGATGACGAAGATTGTAATGATGGAGCACATACTTATGAAATCAATAAAGGAGAAAGACCAACTGGAGATTCAGTAAATATTCCTACAACTCTTTATCATATTACAATGGCTAAGAGGCTCATAATTCAGAAGACTTGTTCCGATATTGAAAGTCAGGATGCAGCTAATATGGTAAGTGTTACATGCAGCAGCTGGTTGTCTGAAGGATAGAAAATGTTTAACTCTTTTTAGATCTTTCTATCAAAGGCAATCATCATATTATACTATAAATAAATTTTGTAAAATACATTTAGCAATCTGCAAATATTCTAAACATGGGTTTCTGAATTTGCTATTCCTCATTTAAAACATATTGTTATTTCTGATTGGTCAGAGATAATGACAGGGGTGATCATATATCAGTGCACCAGCTTCCTGTCCTCTAAATCAATCTATCTACCATAATTTCAATTGTCATCCCCTTCTTAATCATATCACTGGTGATAAAGAACCTATGTCCCTGGATGTTGTAGAGTCGGGACCAAGGAGCGGGGTGCAGTAGTGACGGCGACACAGGATGTGTGGAGCCCCCACAGTGCATGGTGTGGTCGGAGCGTGAGGCCTGTGAACGACAGGTCACTCAGATTGGCACATCTGCTTGTGGGGCAACAGCAGTTGTTAACGTTTTTGTAAGTAGTTGCCAACTTTCAAACTCTTTTAAAAGATAAAATCTCTGTCCGCGCGAATTTCAAAAAAAAATGTTATACAAAAATTTCATCAAGATCTGTTGAGCCGCTCTAAAGATACCTTGTAACAAATATCCATGTATTTAAACTTTCACACTTATAATATTAGTATGATTACTTTATTAGAATTTAAACTAAGATATTTTGGCCTATTTTGGCCTAAATTCACTGAGTAAATTCTTAAGCAATTTTTTATTTCTAGATTGCTCTTGGTGTGCCCGTGGACATTGAAAGAATTAAAGCAGCAGTGGGAACGAGACAAAGGGCGAATAATGCGCCTATACCCAGGTAATGTATGTATACAGCAGGTCCAGTCTCTACAACATCTTGTACATTAATGTTTTCTTTTTAAAATAAGATAAAAAAAAATTAAATAAGAAGTAAGCATATTTTTTATTTCAGATAAAAAACTAGTTTTAGTACAAACATTTCGTCATTAGAACCTCTTTATTAAGTTTGATCGGAATAACTCCTATGGTTCAGAATGCATAGACAAAAAGCATACAAATATGCACTTTTATTTGTAGTCTATGCATTGTGGTTAAGTAATTTAAGTAATTATTAAACACTTAATAATTAGGTACCAACAATGCTTGTAGATTGGTTTTAGAAATGTAGTTAAATTAAATGATTGTTATTAAAATTATAAAAATATCATTATATTATTTAGGTATTTGCTGTCGCGAGCGGTCGCAGGCTGCACTGCAGCAGACTTGGTGACAGGGATACAAAGAGCTTCAGATGGATTGGTGACGGCTCGATTCTTTCCCTTGCATCCCGAACGTGCTATGTCACTGTCACACTGGCTCGCTGACTGGATATCTCTAGGTTAGTTATTATATATTAAGGCAAACAATAATCATTCTTATACATTAAATAGATTATTTATTATGTACCTAAACTCTCTATATAAAAAATAATGTTGTTCCTGTTAATTATGTATAATATGATAACAGATGACAAATTTTTTAAACAGGGACTTTGGACTCAGAAACCCACAGTGACTCGTATACTGTGCGTTTGAAAAGAGTGACACTTAAATATATCAAAAATTGCTAGAAAAATATAATTTTTTTTATTTCATTTTTTGCATTCAATTATTAAGACTTAAACATATATTTATGTATTTTTATATATTTTTGTTCTACAATTTTTTCTTTTCGTGACGTCACAAATAGCGCGGCTCCATGCACAATGTTATTTGATACTTATTATTTTAGTTAGATATTTAAAAAATTAAAAGTGTATATCTGTTTTTTAAAGGAGCTGTACCAATCCTGACATTAAATCTTCAAGTGGGATGTGAAGGGGAAATACCCGATGCGTGGCATCATCAAATGGTGTTCGGTGTATCTCCTCGTGGTGTGTACCTGTGCAACCCTTGTGAATGTGTGCCGGAGAGAGCATTGTGGCCGCGCCTCACCTCGCCCTCGGTGTTACTTGTGCGGGCAAGAGATATCCTTGCCAGGTTATCTCCGAATACAGATTTAAGTGTGCTCATGGCTGTACCGGATAGAAGGTTTCATACTTTCAATGTACTCGGTAAGTAAACAAGCTATTAATATTTAAGAATTTAACAAAAAACACTTAAAACATCTTCATACTTTTAGACATTATTAGTTAGAATCCTTTGGCGCGAATGGCGCACTTTTGTTACAAAGTCAAGTGTCATAATGAATAGTGAGGGGACATAAACGTCGACATTTTAGTAAGGCTAGTGTTACGCCAGTACACCGACACAGTGTCGGATTTTCTTCCTAACAATACATATTGTTATGAGACACTAGCCGTTACCTGCGATTCCGTCTACGCGAAGTTAAAAAAACTTAATTAGTATTTTATGTATTCTTCCAGTTGTTCTTCATCTATGGAAAATTTCAGTGAGATCCGTTCAGGCGTTCGGGAGATTTAACATCCATCCATCCAAATATTAGCTTTTATAATATTAGTAAGATTGTACATAATGAGGTGATTAAAGGTCAAGTGGCAAGTGTGATCCGTGAGTGGCGGGCGCACGGGTGGAGAGAGGCGGGCGTCGGCGCGCGCTCGCGGCACGTCAGGTTGCCGGCGGCGTACCAGGCCGGCGTCACCTTCGCCGCACTCACCGGCTCCGAGGCGCACCGCCGGCTTGTGCACGCCCCCCTGCCGCCCACACTAGGTACGTACCACCCACACTAGGTACGTACCACCCACACTAAGTACGTACCACCCACACTAGGTACGTACCACCCACACTAGGTACGTACCAATCGTACTAGACACGTACAGTCTGTTCTACGTTAAAAGTGATATTTTATGAACCTTTCATACGCATTAAGTCACGACGCGAAAACTATAAGCAATGGGACACAGCTTTTAAGCGTGTCTTTAGAAAAAATATGTATACATTTACATAACTTCAGAAACTTACGCTTTTGGTTTAAAAAATATGCACATGTCGATCCCTATGCTTCCGAACATAGCTGTTATGAATACCTACGGCATATACAAGTTTCTAAAGTTTTGTAAATGTATACATATTTATGCAGCTGACTGTACAGTTGAAGTGGAAATATTTGTCACGTTAAAAGTTTTCTATTTTAGATAAAAGATCCTTTCCAATTTGATTTCGTTAGTGAGGATTTGTTTACTTTTGCCTGCCTCAGGGTTATAAAATTGTTTTACACTATATTAATTCGGTTACTTTGTAATAATATTCTTAAAAATAATTAAAGCGAAGTAACGGAAGATTCCGTTACTTAGTAATGTTACGTACGTTAGTTGAGTCAAGATAAAATGTGTTTGTCTTACAAAATATACTAATTCAATAGCTTATTGTCCAAATATTTATTACGCGAATCTAAATCCTTGAATCATGGATGCATATGTAGTTTTTATAAAAAAAATAAGTGTTAATTTTATCAGATTAATAAACTAAATGTGAATGTTTAGATGTATGGATGGATGGATGTTTGTTTAAAGGTATTTACAGAACGGCTGCATAGATTTTGCTGAAATATGACACAGATGTAAACATAATCTGGAAGAACACAGACTACTAATTAAGTTTTTTTTTAATTCCGCGCGAAGTCGCGGGTGACAGCTAGTTATAATTAATATTATTAATAAAACTTTTATTAACAGGTACTCGGAAGGTATCGGATGGATGTCGACCAGAGCAATAATTTTGTGTCGCAATTCGCGATTGAAAAAAAAATATATATTTAGAATACCACCGAATTAAAAACTCATATTTCAGTTATAAATCTATTTGGCTAACTATTAATTGCTACGATTGCTAATGATCTTTGCTTTGAAAATTAGTGCTCACAAAATTTACGAAAAAATTACACGTATCTAAAATTGGCTGTCAAAGTAATATAATAGAGCGAGACGAACGTATACACAATCGCTATAGGTGCGACAAAGACGACATCCGTTCTGTCTGTTACTTATTGGCAACTTTAGAAACGTAATTTTTGGACAGTTATTACTCGTGTTATAATAGCCTTTGTCACAAGTATTAGTATTTATAAAGTAATATTTTATATACAGGGTTTCCCAAAAGGTTACGTACATAGGAAGGGGGATGATAGGGGTGGTCACAAGGGTCACCAGAAAAATAAAATAAAAATTCCCCTCTGGGTATTAAAAAAAGTAAATGGCATTTTTTAAAAACTTAAAAATTTTACACCTTCTGGGGCAATTTTAATTTTCTTTAAAAACTTTGTTAGTTGTATTGTTTTTTTATTTCATATTGATAAAGGGTTATTGACGATAACATAATAGTTTTTTTTTAAATGTAGCAATATTTGTAGGTCATTGGTTATAAAATTGCCCCAGAAGGTGTAAAATTTTTAAGTTTTTAAAAAATGCCCTTTATTTTTTTTAGTACCCAGAGGGGAATTTTTATTTTATTTTTCTGGTGACCCTTGTGACCAACCCTATCATCCCCCTTCCTATGGACGTAACCTTTTGGGACACCCTGTATACTATGACAGCTTTTAATATGACCATATTTTAGCTAAAAGTATTTGTAACATAGCGATCGTTTGTATGATGATTATTATATAAAGCTACGGATATATCTATCCTTTTCGTTGGATTAATTTTAAGTGATTCGTAAAATAATTATAACTAAATAGATTTTATCACGAAGTTCATCGCTGCTACAGGCCTGGGCGTTAATACGGGGTTCTTTTTTACCATGTGGGTCTTTCTGTACAGCGCCCTGGTCGGGTCGTCAAACTGCGTCCTAGTCTGACGCCGGAACTTGCTATATGATATTAAAGTTTGAATTTTGACACTCACAGTTTTATAGTCTCTAAGGGAGACATGAGTACGAGTATGAGAAATCTTTGGTCAGGACGTGATTAAATGACAGTGTCGGTCTAAATTAGTATCCATTTGTTTCTAACATAATCTGTTTTATGGTGTCCATTCATATGTACCCACTGAGGGGATTCGAAGCCCACCCAAATTAGGGTGACTCGGCCACAGTCAACCACGCTGGCCCATTGCGGGTTGACTTCACACATATCTTTGAATTTCTTCGCATATATGTGCAGGTTGCATCACGATCTTTTCCTTTACCGTAAGAACGCCAGATAAATGTATATATGAAATTAGAAAAACGTAAAACACATTGGTACATGGCGGGGATCGAATCTGGACTTGTAAATTTAGGTCCGATCCGGCCAAGCGTTTAAAAACCGCACCACTGTGTGACAGAGACAACGCTCTACACAACCGAATTCAGCCGATCTTTGTTTTGTTGTCCCTTCTATTTGAAAATATAGAGACAAAAATAGTTTTGTACTGTTTGTCTATAATTTAGATAATAAAAATTGTATGTATATTTAATTACGAACGTTATTTTTCATTAAGGCTTGTATTAATTTTATTAGATTCGCTCAAATGTCTATTTGTTTATTGTATGTGTTGAATCGTAATTTTGTTATTGGCTAAATTATCTTAGCCATAAAACAATCAGGATTTGTACATAATTTTTGCTAAGAAATAATATATTAGTCAATTGGTGCTTACTAGTCAAAATTATTATAGCACGACCATTTTTATTAATAATAAAAAATATTACTCGGCCTTACTAACGGTGTAGTTTTGGCCTATTACGAATATTTTTGACAATCGCCTTTCGTATCGCCATCGTCAATTATGTCGAAATTAGTATGATATATTTGGTGTATGGTACCCGATATGCATTCATGTCGAAGACGATAAGATGGTGATTGTCACAAATATTCGTGCTAGGGCCACTGAATTACGTTATCATGAAATTCTGCATTCACAAGTATTGACATATTGATATTGTCATAAAGAAAGAGAGGAATGATGTGTCAATATGTCACATTCACTGACCTCTATATATGGACAGGGTTTAAACCGTGGTATTTTGTGCCGATTTGATTTGCTATACTGGCGCTGACGGTTGCGGTTGCTAGCGGTAGTGAGTAATGGAACTAGTAATACAGATAGATTTTAATGAAGACAGGCGTGAAGTGGAAGCAATTCCGCGTTTCGTCTGATGAGTGTGCGTTCCGGAGGCCTAATTAAGTCCTCTTTCCCTACCCACTCTTTTTCTTATAAGGAAAGGATTGGAATTGGAAGTGGACCTTCCGGATGAGAGGAAGCATAGAATTGTTTTCTTTCTGTGCATACAGCAACAACGCATATGCAATTGCGTATGTCTATGGGCAACAGTCACTTCGCTATTTCAGCGATTTCAGGTGACCGCTCGCTCGTTTGCCACCTTATGATATAAAAAACAACTTCAACAGGTACATTTAATTCAGAACGAACGCCATTCCTAAGCAGTCGCCTATCCATATATAGAAATTATTGGTCTTGGAATAATTAACATTTACGATTATATAAACATTTTATTTTATTGGCACATCTAAATACTATAAAATGTAAGATATATTTACATCAGACCTTGCAATATAAGCTAAATCGGATACACGAGTACAATTAAGGGTTTTTGGAATATTTTGAACAAACGAGTCTATCGTACCCATTAAAAACAACTCTTTGAACATTGCAATGTCTTCCCTGATTAAAAAATAACCGAGGATTCCTGACTCCAAAATCTAAATCTCTTATATCTTTAACAAAACAGGAAAATATGTTTTTAAACGGGGATTTTGGTCTCGGAAATTCACGGTAAAAAATGTAGAAGGTGCATTTCTTGGTGTATGTTTAGTTTGAAAATGTCGTGCGTTTAATTTAAGATTAAAGACGTAGACGTGACGTAGCTATTAAATAAAAGCAATGTATATATTATATTATATTTTTGGATTATACGATGATAGAATAATATTGTTTTTCTTATCCCAATCCTTTTAGGAACTTTGGAGGAATTCAGATAATAAAGGTATGGTGAACAGCGGATAATAAGAAGAAATGACAAAGATGTTTACCGTGGTTTTCTGAGACTAAAATCCCCGTTTAAATTGTACTGTTATCTCTGTTTTTATCAAAGATAATGACAAGGATGAAGGTATGTTTTATACGAAGATTTTGGTCTCGAAAAACAAAGACTTGAACAGTATGAATATGGATTTGCTTGATTGGAAAATCATTTTAATTACTTTATATGAAACGGGTTTATTTTTAATTGTTAAAAATATTGCGGAGTAGCAAAAACGGTTCGTTTATTAATTTTGATCGTATATAGTTACGTTAATTATTTCGGATAAATGATTTTCCACAAGCGACATTGGGATAATAAGTTTCAACCACTGTTTTGAAAAAGTCAGCCGAGGGTACAGCATTCGCGGGCAGTGATTCAATTTTCTTTAAAATTCTATCATAGGTGGATCGTTCTTCTCTGTAGTAAATGCCGACGATACCAAGTTGTTGATAAATATCGCGAATGCGCGTCACATGGTCCGGCTGCCAGCTGCCGTAGTTAGCAACAAACTCTTCTCTCTGAGTGGGCGAGCAACGTTGCAAGGCGGTTACTGCCAGCCACGTACATTTACCCTCTTGGATGTCGGAGCCTGTTTTACCAGTTTGCTCGTCGTCGTCGTAGTAGTCAGTGAAGTCGTTCTGAAAAACAAAACAGGATTATTTTATATATTTTATCTCGCTTATCGGTTTCTGTCTATCGTCAATTTCGAGTAAAGTCAATTGAGAAACTAAAATACTAGAAGTATAAGGTAGCATTCTAATTGTTGGCTTCGCTAGTTAATAAATATGATGAGGAAGTTAAGGAACTTTTAAGAAATTGCGAACTGAACGCATCACTTGTCATATTTACACAAATACAACAAATCTTTTAAAGGTATTCAGTTTTTAAGTATTCCGGGACATGGGAGAACAACAAGACAAACCAAAGGGGTGGCAGACACCACAGACCTACATTTGGCGAAGTCCAGGCACCTCTAACTCTTCTAAATTCATACATCTACGAATACATGCACTTCTGTTTCGGTTGATCTAAATACCAAGAAGAAGTAGACAAAAAATGTGACTCCTTACATTTATTTGGCTCCAAATTCCAACATCGGTTAAGATATCATCCACATATCGACATGTTTCCTTGTTATACTTGTTGGATAGAACCAGCGCGGAGAGTATCGGAAACTTGACAGAATAGTATGCGTATTTGTACAAGGCAATGTTTTTGTAATAATCCATTGTGAAGTTCTTGTAATTGCGTTGTTTTGATGTTATAGCATCCAAATATTGACCGACGTTACAAGTGAAAAACGCCTGTGAAAAAAAAATAGCAATTTAAAATCTCCCTGAAATTTTGCATAGATGTAGACCCATAGCCTGAAAGGACACATAGGCTACTAATTAAGTTTCTTTTGATGCATGAACAGAGTCGCAGGTGATCACTAGTGTTTTAAAGATACTGTCATATGTAATTTTACGAGTCAATCAAACACAAATAAGATTAAGGGAAATTGTGGAAACCTCGTTGAAGAGTTTAGCGAAGTCGACAAAGAGCTGTGACGAGAAGTTGATGTTCAGTAGCTGCATAATGAAACTACGTAGCATGCTGGCGTCGTTGCTGGCCAGCGAGCCCACGTCTTCCAACAGATGCCAACATGGCTGCCCGTTGCGACTCCGAGCACCGTCTTCGATGTCATCCAAAATAAGAATATATGACATTAACTGTAAAGTAAGTAAATGTATGAATATAAAAATCTGAATGCAATAAAAATCGTTAACTTAAGTTATGTAGAAAATAATAACATCTAAACTTACCAATTCAACGCACCACGCTAAAACATATTGTTGATTATTTAAATCGCCTTCAATCTTTTCGGACTTCAGCAGTTCATGGCCAAGTATAGTTAATTCACCTTGAATTGTTTTTCGTCCACGCATATAGTATTCTGCAATCTGGAATTTAAATTGTCTTTAAATTTTATTTACCAACAACGTTAGGTCATTGATAAAAAAAAGTTACAAATTAAAATTTATTGAACAGGAAACTGTCTTCTTTTCACAGATCGAGAGTTATCGATACATCTGTATATAACATATAGTTATTACTGTTTTTTTATGACAATGAAAGGGACGACAATATCGGAAACTCGTAATCACTTACTCTTTTCATTCGATCATGTAATTCGTCAGTCTCCAAGTACTTAGTCTGTTGTACTCCGTTGTCTATTATAACGGGCAAAGAATTAATAAAGCTATTGTATGCCTCTTGGGGCAAGATTTTCTTCTGCTTTTGAGGAGGACGCCTGAAAGAATGCCATGCTTTCGTTAATTGTCTGCTACAAAGAATAAGCGTTGATAACCAGCCAGTAATTTCAAACCATAAAGGGATAGTCTTGCTTAGTATGGATGCTGACTACGATCTTTGTCATCTTTTTGACTGAAAGCGGGAAGCCATTTTGTAAAATCTCAAAGTTGGACTTATCTTACTAATATCATAAATGCTAAATTTTCCTTTTTTTAAAAGCAGAAGGGGGGCAAACGAGCTGCGCGAACAACGAACCGCAAATGCGTTGCCGTCCTTTGAGATGATTTGGTAGAATCTATGTTTGTATTGAGGTATCTACAGAAAGACTGCATAGATTTCGATAAAATTTGGTATAGATGTAGTCAGAAATAACACATACGCTATCTATGATCTTGAAAATGTGTACGGTTACTCGATAACACTGCAACGGTTTAACACGTATTATTGAAAAGAAAGTATAGTCTCGAATAACATATGAGATTCATTGCATCTTTTTTTTAAATAATGCACAGACGAAGACGCGGGCAAAACTAGTGTTATATAATATAAATATATTATATACGAACATACCACTTGCAGTAATTCCTGGACAAATTCAGCAACCATTTGACCGCTACCATATTACTTGGGAATACAGGATGAGATAAAATATAAATACGTGAAGCTCACAGCACCGAATGAATATTTAGTCTGTCTGTTTTAACTAAACTATTTAATATTTATACATCAACTTGCTGTTTTGCTTGTTATAAATCTATTATTTATATTCGTTATTCACTATGCCGGTTTTAGTTTGATTAAAAAATTAATTTTCCTTATACCAAAACCGGTATCACTTAAATTCTATGCGTTAAGATTTCTAATATAAAAAGTTATTAATTTATTAATAGAATACAATAAAATATCAACTGGCCTGGTTGATGGATATACGAATGACTAGCATCAGCACGAGCGGATTATGAAACCTGTATTATGAATTAACTGGTTTTATCCAGTTATTGCTGATAATACTACATCACTAGACTTTGATTGACACTGTCATATAATCTAATACGGCAAAACGCAACGCACATAACGTGTGTTATTGCTAACACGTGTAATTAGTTTATGGTAAAGAGTTTAATTTTTGTGCTATAAAAAGAGTTTGTGCAAGTATTCCCCTCGTGAAAATTCGAACATCCTTTACAGTTTTGTACAGTCGCGCCGACAATATTAATTACATTCCATATTCAAACAGAGCCTTGAGTTGTTGTTTTAAGTTAATCTTTTTAACGAATTACTTTTTACTTATTGCTTATATGTTTGAAATATTTTTCGTTTTTAAAGAAATAATAAAAAGCCACTTCTGTTTCTGATAGTACTGAAGACAATGAGTTTACAGAATGTTTTATTTTTACAGACGGAATACTTTGACATCTATTAACATTAGTTATATTTTAGGGTGATTAGAAAAACATTCTATAAAAATATCGCCTTGTTGAATTTCTATCGCTCGTTATTTTGACGATGATGACGACAAATCATTAATTTATATATTTAATAAAGTTTTAATTAAAAAATTCTTAGTTTTTTGTTTTTACAAAAGATAACGGACAAAAAAAAGTATTAGGCTCAATTTCCATTGACAAACAAAATAGGTCACGAAATCGATAACGTAGAGCCAATCGCTATGTAAATATAGGTTTTTGTCAACACTTTTAAAAAATCGAGTCATTACGTAGCTCATTACCTAATCAAGTTGATTTCAAGGTTTGGGCATCTTGTTCATAAAGTAAACAAACAAAACAAATGACATTGTTTTTTTTAGATATCACATGAGCATTTGACTCTATAGCCGTTGATACTTTCGTAATCTAAACGATTTTCCACAAGCGACATTTGGATAATAAGCATCAACCACTGTTTTGAAGAAGTCAGCTGATAGCATGGAATTGGCGGGCAGCGATTCAATTTTATTTATAATTCTATCATAGGTGGTTTGTTCCTCTCTGTAGTAAATGTCGATGATGCCAAGTTGATGGTAAATATCGCGAATGCGCGCCACGTGGTCCGGCTGCCAACTGCCGTAGTTAGCAATAAATTCTTCTCTCTGAGCGGTCGAGCAACGCTGCAAGGCGGTTACGGCCAGCCACGTACATTTACCCTCTTGGATGTCGGAGCCCGTTTTACCAGTTTGCTCTTCGCTGTCATAATAATCAGTGAAGTCATTCTGAAAAACAAAACAGGATTATTGATAATTACCCGATATTTTTATATCCCCATATATAAAGAAGACTTGCAAGTGACAAGCAGAACTAAAAACATAAATGTGGAGAGGTACAGGTACAGAGGCAACCGGCCGTAAAAAAATAAAGCCAAAACCTTAAGGTTTATAAACCCTTTTGCGCGACATCAATGGGATAAAGCCGGGGAGTAGAGTACATCGGCAGGGGTAGACCGCACATAGAGTGGAATAAGAACAGGGAGTTGATGATAATATGTCACGAAATTAACTGTGACATTGTATCCGAGCTAATGGATGATAAGAACAGTAATGAAGTAGACAAAAAATTGTTTTCCTTACATTTATTTGGCTCCAAATTCCTACGTCAGTTAATATATTGTCCACAAGTTGACGTGTATCCTTGTTGTATTTGTTGGAGAGAATAAGCGCACATAGTACGGGAAAGTTTATGCACCCGACAGCGTATTTGTTCAAGGCGATGTTTTTGTAATTTTTCATTGTAAAATTATCATAATTACGATTTTTTGATGTTACTGCGTCCAAATACTGTCCAACATTGCAGATAAAGAAAACCTGTGAATATATTATGAATAAGTTTTATTCCTTAGCTTTACTTTAATATGTAAACGTCTGAATTATTATATGTAAAGATATGTAAAAATCTAAAGAAATACAAAACACCATAAATCTGTCAAAGGTACTTTATCAGCAAAAGGCGAATTTACTATCTAAAAGTTTGAATTTGTTCCGCAGTCAAGTACTCAATCTTACTTCAGCCAATCTTAAACTTCTTACTAATATTATAAATGTTTGGATGAACGGAAGGATATTTGTTCGAAGATATCTCAGGAAAGACTCGACGGATTTCGATGAAATGTGGCACACATGTAGAACATAGTTTGAAAGAACACATGGGCTACTAATTAGGTTTTTTAATCTCTCGCGGACGGAACCGCGGGTGACAGCTAGTTAAATATAAGTACGATGTATTAATATCATAAGTAGTGACCTCATTGAAGAGTTTAGCGAAGTCGACAAAGAGATCTGAGGAGAAGTTGATGTTCAATAGCTGCATAATGAAACTACGTAGCATGCTGGCATCGTTGCTGGCCAGCGAGCCCACATCCTCCAACAGATGCCAACATGGCTGTCCGTTGCGACTCCGAGCACCGTCTTCAATGTCATCAACGATGAGAAAGTACGACAGTATCTAAAATAAGTTATTCATATTCATCAAAGGTAAATAAGATTGATTTGAGTAACTGAGTTGAAAAAATAATTTTATTAACAAAACAAAAAACTTTTAGGTACACAATTCAAGGTACCATTAAAAGAATTGATTAGATCGACCGAGTTATCTGGCATGAATCGAAAGGTGCACTTTAGTTTTTTTATCTTTTGCTTTTTTATTCATTTAGTAGTCCCTACTAAATATTTGCTTTTACTTACTAATTCAGCGGACCAGGCTAAAACGTGTAGTTGTTTTTTTAAATCACCTTCAGTTTTCTCAGGCTGTCTAAGTAGGTCATGGGTGAATATCGTCACTTCACCGTGTACTGTTTTACGTCCGCGCAAATAGTATTCTGCAATCTCAATATTTATTTATTAATCACATAATTTTTTATATATAATCTTTCATATTATAAAAAAAAACCATCAATTTTTGCGGCCAATTTAATGAGACATTACAATATGGCAATATTTATTTAGTAACGGTATCCATATTAATTGTAAAGTTTCACAGATCACTTACCGTTGGTTTGCGAGACCAAAATCACTGTGTAAAACATATCGTCATCCCTGTCATTATCTTTGATAAAACAGGGATAATAATATGTTTCTAACGGAGATTTTGGTATCGGAAACTTACGGTAAGAAGCAATGACTGGTGTTCTAACAAAGAGTACAGATTCTACCTAACCTATTTACATCATCATCATCAGTGTACGTCACTTTACGTCCCCACCGAGGGGCTCGAAGCCTACCCTAAGTTAGGGGTGACTAGGCCATAGTCAACCACGCTGGCCAAGTGCAGGTTGGTTGGCCTATTTACATGAGATGCCTAAACTGCTAATGACATCATCTAGTCCGATAACAAGAATTTAGTACCATCATTTATTATTTACTGCTTCAGTTTCTGGGTTTAATATTTTATACTTACTCTTTTCATTCGGTTTCGCAATTCATCTGTTACCAAATATTGTGTTTCTCGTACTCCTTTGTCTAATATAACGGGTAACGAATTAATAAAGTCATTGTATGCTATTTTTGACAATATTTTCTTTGACGTTGGCGGGGAACAACTGGAACATGACATTTAAACATTCAAGGTTATAATTAAGCTTCAGACTTCTGATCTGAACGTGGAAGATATAAATTGTCAGTGAGATCTCAATCTGAGTCACACTGATAATGGACAGAGAATGGCTACTTTCATTCTCAAAGAATGTCGACGTCCAGAGGTCATACACAATAGCAGGGAAGTGTTCGCAAATTGAAGAAGAAATGTATGCATTCAACCACTTATTCATATATAAAAAGCACTATTATTACATTTGTTCGTTTAATATCAATGTAAGTAAATGTACATAACGTAAAATATAATATGTAAAAAGTAACTTACCACTTTGTGTAATTCCTGGCTAAATTTATCAACCATTTACACGAAACCATTTTACGTACTGACAGTTTTAATTAAGTGAATAAGTATGATTAACTACCTCAGAACTTCACCTGAGTATTTATGTGTAAAAACTGGTTTTCACTAATTACCATGTATTTAATAATTACAAAATCCTTGCAAATAAATATATTAATTATACATTTTGAAGTAATTAAGACCTTTAAATATAGCTGATTACATCTATTGTATTTTCTTAATGGTCGGTATATATTATTCCAGTCCATGCATTGTGGTTCCAGTGCAGATTTTGATTTCTGGACTGGAATAATGTAAACCTGGCTAACGTTCAGAGATGAATGGCTGTCGAAGTACCCACTTTTCAATAACTTACTGCGATCTATATAATTTTTGCTTACATTATCTTGCGATTTTTTTTGTTAACGCGGGGAATGCGTTTATGCACTTCGCCGTCCGTACTGCGGGGGCAGAAGGTACGGTTTAGGGTGGGACTCCCAGCCTGGGGTCAAGGCCGTACTACCCATTTAACCCCGCGGTGTTGTCCTTCGCCGGACCGGACCGTGGCATCGACGTTAGTTTATCCACGGCCCGGCTAGGGGGACCCCTTGGTAGGGGCTCGACTCGTATAGGGAGGGGTCAGATGTTAAACCCCTCCCATCATGCTATGATGATGCCCTCAGAACATGAGAGGGGCCATTCGCCACAATCGGCGCGACAGGTCCCCGACACAACATTTTTTTGGTCCTATTCCGGTATAACTTTGACATTTGCATGAAAAAATAAAAAAAAAAAAAAACGTTCTTTATTACAATAGACAACTTGTCTGTTGTATTTTTTTAGTTTAATACGATAAATAGTTGCTCATTTAAGCCTTAGTATTTCCTCGCTTGAAACTTTTTTTTTCGGGTATAATTTCGTGACTATATAAAACGTGCCATACTCTTATTATGCAAATGTATGTAGCCTATTTACGTTTAAAATTCACAAGTTACACACAGAAGACAGGCATGAATTGGAAGCAATTCCGCGTTCGTCTGATGAGTGTGCGTCCCGGAGGCTTTATATCGTCCTCTTTCCTTTCCCACCCTCTTTCTTATAAGGAAAGGATGGGAAGTGGAAGTGGACTTTCCGGATGAGAGGATGCGTGGAAAGGGAAAATATCTTCTTTCTGTGCATCCTCTCCTCCGTCGATTAAAGGTAGGCAACGCATATGCAATTGCGCATGTCTATGGGCAACGGTAACCTCGCTATTTCAGCGTTTTTAGGTGGCCGCACGCTCGTTTGCCACCTTGTGATATAAAAAAAAACAGTTACTTTTTGTTAATAGCACTCATAGGTCAGCCACACGAGCTGTCTTCGGCGTAACAAACATCCAATCATACTGTTAGGAACAAAATTCGGAAACTAGCCAGTGTGTTGATTCAAAACTAGCCGTATTAAAATGTCGCCGTTGGTGTCCCCTCGACATTCATTCTGACACTAGACTTTGTAACGAAAGCAAGTCATTCGCGCCAAAGGATTGTAATTAATAATGTCTAGAAATACTAATATTATAAATGCGAATGTTTAGATGGATGGATGTTTGAAGGTATTTTCAAAACAGCTGAACGGATCTTGACGAAATTGGGCATACATATAGAACATAGTCCGGAAGAACACATAGGTTAAAAACATATACTAATATATTTTTTTTAATTCCGTGCACACGGAGTCGCACGCTACAGCGATAATTAAGACAGGATATTGTAAACAAAATTTCCACTGGTTAACCGACTTGTGTTCATGTCTTAACATGTTGTTAAATAGTGCTATAAAATATAATAAATACATTTAAACAAAATAAACATACATAAAAACTAGGGATGATTATTGACTACATGTCTTTACAATATGTTGTATTGAAATAAGTTATTTCGGATCTTATAACATTGTTAAGTCACCATTAAGTAAGCATTACTTAGCTATCAACTTTGTTAATTACTTGAATAAAACTAATTAAGTTGACAAGAGCGTCGGCGGCTCAGAGTTTAAGCGCTTGACTTGCAGTCTGCAGGTCCTGGGTTTGAATCCCGCCATGTACCAATGTGCTTTTCCATTGTCGATTTACATATGTTCATTTATATTACGATTCTGCATTTCGGCATGGATGTAGAACATCGTCGCGAAGAACTCGTAGGCTACTAATTAAGTTTTTTTTTTATTTCTACGCGGACGGAGTCGCGAGCTACAGCTATAATTTATATTTTCCTGCCCCTTTTAACTTTGTGTTATCGACCGATATGCTGTTCATTTTATGAACAAAATATTCGTTTGTTTTATATTCATATAAATCCTGAAACTGCCATAACTGACTTCCATGACCTTTTTAATGAATAAACAGTATGCAGTAAAAGCAATTCAATGTAAATTCACTGGACAGGACATCGGGAACCAAAGTGAAATCTAAGACCTGGTATACAACTAGACAATAAGTGTAGTTTGCAATTGTTTGTTGTTAATAAATCGAGGCGTGATAAATAACTAGCTGTCGCTCGCGACACCGTCTGCACGGTATTAAAAAAAACTTAATTAGTAGCCTATGTGTTTTTCAGGTTCTGTTTTACCTCTATACCAAATTTAAGCGGGATCAATGTAACCGTTCTTTAGATACCTTAAAACAGATATCCATCCATTCATCTAAACATTCGCATTTATAGTAGTATGAAGTGTAATAGTACAATTATATTTTTTAGCACATTTTTAAATATTGACAAGAGATCGCTAATGAGCTATTGTAACTTGGTTAGTCAGATAAGTTTGCGAGACTATAAAATTTTATGACTCAATTTATATTTAATAGTAAAATTTTTCAAATGTTGAATTTGTTAAGTTATTTTTTTTTATAATATCTTAGCCTGTACTCTACCTGCCTGTACTATAGGCTAAGATATTCAACAAAAGTTGCTGCTACTTTTGTTGAAATTACAAATCTACCGACCAAAGGAGCTTGGTCTAGTATGGTTAGTTGCGATGGCGCCCAGAAATCAATCAATCGTCTTAATCCAATGGCCGATTTGATATCTAGTCTATCTAATATAAACGAGCTGATGGGGGGACCTTTGTACGAGCGCAACGAGGGTTCACCGGGACTGGCTGAAAACCAACTCCACATGGCCATGTCTTGCGTTACTCGCTGAACTTGCAGTCCACTGTCATCATATTTTTTTTTGTAATTACTTATGATATATATTTCTGGTATTATAACAATAAAGAAGTTTTTATTTTATTTATTTACTTATGTATTTTTTTTGTAGTGCGATCCGTGGTAATCAATTTATTAGTATGACTTACTTCCTATAATTATCTCCAATTTCAAAATTTTCTTCAATTTTTTTAAGCGACTATATCTTTATATATATAATTCTTCTGTGAGTGTGTATGTCACTGAACTTCTCTCAAACGACTGGACCGATTTTGATGAAATTTTTTGTGTGTGTTCAAGGGGATCTGGGAATGGTTTAGATTCACATGGTTTTGTCCGCTGGACAATGTTTTTTTTAATTAATTTTTAATTTATTAGTAGTTGTTGATTTTGGAATGTTTTACATTGGATCCGACAGACGGCGCTACCATCGCAGTGTCAAACTCAACTCCATATATCTATTGGATATTGTCATAACATTTGAATAATAATTTTCATCAAAATGGTCCAGAATGTTTAGCTTATTTAAAAAAGTTTGACATTTTCAAATTAAAGACGTGTAGACAGGACAACGCCTGTCGGGTCAGCTAGTTCTAATATATAGCTATGTTAAAACACTTTTTATCTTAAAGCTAAAAAGCAACATCACAAAAAAAACACCAAATTTGTTTTAATCCTAAAAACAAAAGAAAATTAATTCAGTTATTCCATGAAGCTAATCATGAATTTATGGCTAAACTGGGTGTCGCCCGCGACTCCGTCCGCGCGGGACTAAAAAAACTATATGAGTAGCCTGTATACTCTTCCAGACTATGTTCTACATCTGTGCCAAATTTCATCAAAATCCGTTAAGCTCTTAAAACATTCGCATTTATAATATTAGTAAAATAACGAACAATGAGGGACCATTAATTATGTTAAATACACTTTTTTCATATAAAGTTGTACTACTTTGTATATTTCGTTCATTGTTAAATAAAAATACACGTGTTATATTTATGCGACATTGTATTTACTATATCATTAAAATATATATATTATTCCATTCATTATATTTCTTAACTTTTTGTTTTGCGAAATTAACCAATTTGCTTTGTAAAACAAACCGTAAAGTTGTGTTTCAGGATTTTATTCATGTAATTTTTTTTCATAATGCTATTTATTTTCCTTTCTTTGTTTCCAAAACCTTACTTCTTATTTTACTAATATTATAAATGCGAATGTTTTGATGGATGGATGTTTGTTAGAAGGTATCTCTAGAACGGCTTAACGGATCTTGGTGAAATTTACCATAGTTGTAGAACATTCTGGAAGAACACATAGGCTACTAATTAAGCTTTTTTTTTAATTCGGTCATAATTAAAATAATGCGGACGGGGTCTTGTGTGACAGCTTGTAGTATTATAAATTACTAGCTGTCGCCCGCGAATCCATCCGCGCGGAATTAAAAAAAAGCCTTTGTGTTCTTCCAGACTATATTCTATATGTATGCCAAATTTCATCGAGATCAGTTCAACCGTCCTAGAGATACTTTCAAACAAACATCCATGTAAACTTTCGCATTTATAATATTAGTATTCCATCCATACATTTCAACATCATAACAATCGCACTTATAATAATTGAAAGATATGTAAATCTAATATAGGAAGAATCGACTGATCAGTGTTTCGCTCAAAAATAAATCTTCAAATGACTTTTAGGGCACGAGTTTAGAAAACCTTGCATTTATAATGCCCGTTGTACACAACACGACGACTTAAATCTTCGAATCCCAGCGATTTTAGTCGCTAAGAGAATACGAAGTACAATATCACAGAGGTTCGTATACAAGCACGCGTTGCCGACATTTTGTTATTAAGTCGCCAAAACCAGTCGCTCGCTATTTTTTTTATCAAAATCGTCTTGAGAAAAATCGCTGTGATTTTCAAAATGCGGATCATATCTATACTGTTGATATTTTGTAAATTCGAGCCGTTATTTCACCGTGTAGTCATATGCGCGTGCTCATCGAATACATGACTCGCGTCGACGACTCAACGTTGTGTTAACGAAGCGTGCGCATCGCGATACGTGCGACACAAGCATATAATGTTACTTACAAAGATTTACATTTCCTTGTACATGAAGGACCTAATACTTGCACTTTATTAGTAAGTATTATATATATTTGTGTGTCAGTGGTTTTCTCTCAAACAGTGCCTGATATCAAAAGGATCGACTCGTCCTCCAAATTAAATTTTGAAACATGTTCCTAAGTAAATGTCCCGTACGAGGTTTAAGAAGTTCGGCGATTTGGTATGTGGACTTTTTTAATCTATATTTTGTAGAAATTTTATTTAGATTAATAAAACTAATAAAATAGGGGTGTCTGTATGTAATATAGAAAAAAATATTTCGTATACAAGATTTACCGTTTTTACTTTTTTTTTTTAATTTCTGTCGGTCTATCTGCCTGAAATCCGCGTTTGTTCTGGATAGTTTCCAAAAACAGTTGGATTTTGACGGGATTTTTACTAGAAGGTAGGTGATTTGTTCGTGATTAAATGAATAATTACATTTGATATCTTTGATATTCAATAGCGGAAAAAAGGAATTTTATGAAACGATGGACCCTAATCCTCTTTTACTTTTCTTTGTAGTATTTTTTGTTAAGTTATTTGACAAGCAAAATTAATAAGAATTAGTTCTTTATTGAACAAAAGAACCATTTTTCACATAATGAGCAGGGTTCTGTTTCCTGAACTAGTTAAAAGTGTGTTTCAGCCTTCATTATCTGCTACCTAAAGTTATTAGGAATTAGTTAACATATTATATATATTAATTACATGGTTATTATTTATATATATATAATATAATTGATTAAAACAGCAATTGATTTTTATATATATATAAAATCAATTGCTGTTTGTTAATCTCGCTAAAACTCGAGAACGTTTGAACGGATTAATCTTATCTTGGTCTTGAAATGTTCGTGGTGGTCTAGGGAGGGTTTAAAAGGTGAGAAAAATTCGAATAATTGCCGGGAACTAATTAAGTTTCTTTTCACTCCACTCGGACGAAGTCGCCGGCGACAGCTAGTTTAGATATATAATATATACTGTGCGCGTGCGTGGCTATGTATACGTTGTTTCATTTTTAGGGTTCCGTACTCCATAGGAAAAAAACGGAACTCTTATATGATCACTTTATTGTCCGTCCGTCTGTCTGTCGAGACGCTTTTTTCCTCTTATTTATAGTTTTTACTACTTTATTTTACTACTTCTTTAAATTCTTCTTAATTCTTACTTTCAAATAATTAAATAATAAACCTATATGTAAGTAACTTTGTATATAATGTATATATTCCAACATTACAGGAGAGCTTCAAAAGCTGAGAATATGTTGAAACAGGGTGATTATTTTAACAACACGCTTTCGAAAATGGTCGTAGAAGGATTAAATGGCAGTGAGTTTTCGAAAACACCGTCACTTGTCAAAAGAATTAGCAAGGTATGGTTAATTATAATTAAATTCAAGTATTCAAGCACTTGACTTGCAATCTCCAGGTCCTGGGTTCGAATCCCGCCATGTACCAATATGTTTTTCGATTTTCGATTTACATATGTACATTTATCCGACGTTCTTACGGTGAAGAAAAACATCGTGATGCAACCTGCACATATCTGAGAAGAAATTCAAAGATATGTGTGAAGTCAACCAACCCGCACTTGCCCAGCGTGGTTGACTATGGCCTAGTCACCCCTAACTTAGGGTAGGCTTCGAGCCCCTCGGTGGGCACGTACAGTGAGCTGATGATGATGAGTCAAGTTATTGAGGGTTTCGGAGCCTATTCTAAGTTAGGTGTGTCTAAAATTTCGGCAACTAGTAGTGATTTTACTAGTCAATATTCGATTGTGCCTATTTCTAGAATTTGTTTTGATTATCTATAATTATTTACAAACTAGCTGTCTTAAAGAAAAAATAAACTTAATAAGTAACCTATATGTTTTTCTAGACAATGTTCTACTTCCGTGCTAATGTCCAAAGGTCCAACGGTCCGTTGAGCCGTTTCGGAGATACCTTTATAATATTAGTAAGATGAAATGTAAATATTGTCAGATGACGGAGTACTACACGACTGAAAGAATACCTCTTCAAGGTCACATGACTCTAATCGCCTACGAAATGTTAGAGAAATCGGAAAACATCACAGACAAATCGATGTATCAAGCGGAAGCTGTTGCTTGCGCAATGGAATTGGTGAGATAATTATTTAAAAATATGTATACATAAACGAACGAGTGGGAAATAGACAATATGTTATTTTTTTATATCATAAAGAGGCAAACGAGCGAGCGGCAACCTCAAATCGCTGAAATACCGAAGCCCAGAGACATCCGCAATTGCAGATGCGTTGTCTACCTTTAATCGACGGAGGAGGGAATGCAAAGAAAGATATTTTTCCTTCCCATAATATTATATACTTGCGTCGCAAGTAAACGGCAGCGCAAGCTCCGTACACAAAACAATGAATCGTCGACATGTGTCTTCTTTGCTAGTAGTGGAGTCGAAGCTGAGATTTTGGGATTTACTCGAGTGTAAAAGTAAAAAATTAAAGGGGGAATCTGGTACCCAATCAAGTACTCGCAACACACATATAACCTTCCAAAGGTCAGTTTCAGACATCGTGAGAGTTAATGCGGAAAAGTTTCACTTAATGTGGCTTGATTATTTATATATTTTTTTTACTTTAGATCTATGTGTGAAGGGAGATACTCGATTGGAAGTAATATTTCCATTATTAGTTACTGCCACGCTCGAATAAAAACTTCAAACGAGCAAAAGCATTACTTTACCGAGTCAGTCGTGTAATAACTTAAAACTGATTTCAGTTGCAATCATATTTCCTCATCATGGACGACATAGAGGACGGAGCTACGTCACGCCACGGAAAGACATGTTGGCATTTACTACCCGACGTTAAGACATTGGCATTGAACGATTCGAGCATGTTTCGGAGTACTATACATGAAATATTGAAAAAAACATGTGAAGGACCTCTTTACGTTGAACTATTGGATATATTCAACGATGTATGATTTCAAAATAATACTTTTTAAAATAACTTTCTTTCGTTTGTTCATCTATTGAGCTTGCTTAAAACTAGACTTTTTTGTTTTTGTTACAATTTCGATTTTGTTTGTCCGTTCGCAGTCCAGTTAACAATATACATAAAATGTTACTTATTGTAATATGTAAATTCATAATATGGTTCTTAACCATTGTATTCAAACTTATTTAACTTTTTATTTCACTTAGTTATTGACGAGATGGTACTATTTTATACCAACTACAATCGAACAAAAAGATAGTTGATAAACAAATAAATATATTTGCTAAATTATTTTTTCAGGCGTTTATAAACGTAGCTATTGGACAGCATTTGGACGTAATTCTCTCTAGATCCAAAGACTATTCATTGTTTACACAAGAAAACTACGATAATATAGTTAAATATAAGTGCACTTACTACACGATGAAGTTACCATTGATGTTAGCTATGACACTGGCCGGTAGAGCGACAGATAAATCTTTCGAACTCGCTGAAAATCTGTGCCGAGACGTCGGCGCTCTATTCCAGATGATAGTAAGTTTCAAACAACTAAATTCGTTTTTACATTGTTCGTTAGAAACAAATAATAAAACATTTTCTCTTTTGAACAATTCTCAGTAATAATTTAATGTTTAATTCACAGAACGACTTCATGGATTGTTTTGATTTGGAGTCGGAAAGTGGTAAATCTGGTACCGACATACAAGAGGGAAAGTGCACATGGTTAGCTGTGAAATCTTTAGAGCGCGGAAACCCAGAGCAAAGGAAAACTTTCAGAACTTGCTATGGCAGCTGGAACCCAGAGGATGTTGAAACAATAATAGGCCTATATAAAGATTTAGATCTTAAATCATTATACGAAGAACAACAAAAATTACGATACAAAATGTTCATGCAAAAAGTTCAAGAACTACCATCGAATGCTATGCCTACACCTGAATTGTTTTTAAAGTTGCTTCAAATGGCTCAAGGTGGACACTGAGATGTCAGCCAGGATCTTTTTATTCTTTTCTAGACAATATTTACTTAAGTCGTTATTATTAAAATATGTCATTATTATTGCAGATATTATAAAATAATATATGGATTCAGTTATAATTGAATATTTATTTCACTGTTCATCATCATCATCATCATCAGCTCACTATACGTCCCCACCGAGGGGCTCGGAGCCTACCCTAAGTTACTGCCCCTTAAACAGTTAGTCCGCAAAGTAGTAACACAACGAAATTGCAACGAATACATTGGAAGACATATTTATTTATTTATTTATTTACATGGTAGACTTACAGCTAGAAAGTAACAATAATAGACACAAGATAGTTAACATATAGCTATTTACAAGTCTACACTTATAGCAATGGCTTAAATAATTTGACAGTCAGCACATGAGATATAAATACTTGACTTTTTTTTTTAAAATATAAATATATATTCAACCACCGCTCAATTTATCTGAAAAAATCCCGGCTTAGACAACTCCTCGCTGAGGACACACTAGTTGCAAACGGGTCGATATCACACTTCTTGCACAGTGTGTTGAAGCTGGAGCTCGCACGCACCACACACGAGTTCTGCCTGTAATTAGTTGACGCGTACGGTACGCTTATGATGGGATTGTACCTACAAGGTTTGCTAGGTACACTGAAGTTGAATTTACATAGCAATTCCGGACAGTCGATATTATTTTTTAGTATTTTATGAATAAACATGAAGTCGGCAATCTCACGACGATTCATAAGCGGCAATAAATGGAATTTCTTACAAAGGAGGATATAGTCTTTAGAGTGATAAGGAAGTCTTTGTTGAAAGCAAAGGAACTTTATAAATCGTTTCTGTATATTTTCTAACCTATCAATATATTTATGATAACGGGGATTCCATACTTGCGACGCATACTCCAGTTGACTTCTAACATATATACAGTATAGTATTTTAAGAGTCTTAGCTTCAGTGAAGCATTTAGCGAGTCGCATAATAAACCCAAGCGACTTGGAAGCATTTTTGGCAATAGTGTCAATATGCATATTAAAGAATAAATTGTTATCATGATGAACGCCCAGATCTCTGGTGTCTGTGCATCTAGGCAGGTTTTGACCACCCAGCGTATAGGAAGTATTAAGTGCTATACGTTTTCGAGTATAAGTAATTACCGAGCACTTCAAGGGATTAAGATCGAGTTTATTTGTCGTGTAGTAATTTTCCAGTCGACAGAGAGCAGCCTGAAGTGATATCATGTCTTCAAACGATGATATTGTGGCAAATATTTTCATGTCGTCTGCGAAATACAGAAGGTTTGAAGACTCAAGACAAGAGGCAATGTTATTCACGTTTATCACAAATAAAAAGGGCCCAAGTAAAGAGCCTTGGGGTACACCACTAGGCACAGTAATCCAACTTGAAATGTAGTTATTTAGTACCACAGCCTGAGATCTATTGTCTATGTATGATGAGAGCCACCATCACGCATATAATAGAATATTAACGTTGCTAGTTGTGTTGTTACTGTTTGATTTGTGAAAATGACATAACGAAAATTGTTAATAAAAATACAATAACACAAATTTAAAAAAAACCGGTCAAGTGCGAGTCAGACTCGCGCCCCTAGGGTTCCGAACAAACCTGTAGGTATAGGTTAAAGTTCACGGGAAGGGGGTTATTAAGTTCATAATTATTAAAAATGTTTTTTTTTATATGATGAAACTAAAAATTTACTGTTTTCGGCATTTCTCCTATATTTGTGCTATAACACATTGCTTCATGCCAAATTTCAACATTGTATTCTCAAATTGTTATTATAATTATAAAGTAAATCCTGTATGTAGAGCACGGGCGTCGCTGCCCATGATCAATGATGGTGGCTAGTTTTTGATGCGGGGGGCAGCAACCATTAATATGATTTTTTACAGCATTTTACATTTTGTGGTTCTCATGGGGTGCCAGCTGACTCCCAGCCCCTCTCTGACGACGCTCATGATGACAACCCTTCCATAGGTACCGTAATATTGAAATAATATGTGCACAATTGACTATCATAATGATTTCATGTTAAATAAAATCATCATCAGCTCACTATTCGTCCCCACCCAGGGGCTCGGAGCCTACGCTAGGTTAAGGGTGACTAGGCCATAGTCAACCATGCTGGCCAAGTGCGGGTTAGTTGACTTCACTCATATCTTTGAATTTCTTCTCAGATATGTGCAGGTTGCATCACGATGTTTTCCTTCACCGTAAGAACGTCGGATAAATGTACATATGTAAATCGGAAATCGAAAAACACATTGGTACATGGCGGGATTCGAACCCAGGACGTGTAGATTACAAGTCAAGTGTTCAAACCCCAGAGCCATCGACGCGATGTTAAACAAATGCAGTCACAAAAAATCATATATATCCCGAATACTCCATGCCTACGACAAATGTCGTCTTAGTCAAAATTATTAGGTTGCCAAGACGTATAAACTGAGATGTACATTCGAATACTATTAATGGGTAGAGACGCTTGTTCTTTCATTTTTTTAACCTTGATTTTTTCCAATTTGATCCACTTCTATTTTTTTTTTTTTCATCTAGATACCAAGTATTGTATAGAACATCCTTGCAAAGTTTTAATGTTCGAGCTAGTCTGGAAATATAAAAAAATTGTGCAACACCAGCTGCGGAATTCCCGTGACTCCGTCCGCACGGAATTAAAAAAAAACATAATTAGTAGCCTATGTGTGCTTCCAGACTATGTTCTAAGATTATTATTTTAGTGTTCACCTCAACTCTATACCTCCTACAGTGAAGTTCGAAATAGAAAAAAAGTAAACGAACGAATGAATAGGAAAAATTTATTTGTCGACTAGCTGTCGCCCGCGAGTCCGTCCGCGCTGAATTAAAAAACAATCTTAAAAAGTAGCCTATTTCTTCTTCCAGACTATGTTCTACATCTAGGCTAAATTTCAGCGAGATTCGTTAAGCCGTTCAGGTGATATCTTCAAACAAACCATCCATCCAACTATCTAAACAATCGAATTTATAATATTAGTAAGATTAAAATTAGTCAGATTTGAAACTTTATTGCAATGTATCATGGTTGTAATTAGGTTGAACTTAAGAACTGTTTTATAACTTTTCTCTCAGTTTGTTAATGTAATAAGAAAATATTCACACGGACAGTTTTTGGCTTTGCTTTAAAACGTGACCCTTTATCTTGTCGGTAATGCTAATCGAAGACATCTATACATATTAATAAAATTAGAGTGTTTTATTTACAGAAAGCCGCAAGGACATTTACCTAAATCTCTGTCCAATCACCTCACCCCGCTTTTGTCTAGCTATTATCCTTTAAAAGAAACGGCCAAGTGCGAGTCGGGCTCGCGCACCGAGGGTTCCATAAAAACCTGTAGTATATAATAAGTAAAAGTCATCACGACAATCGAGTCATAGTTAAAAAGGGTTGAGTTGGACCTAGTTTTTTTTTTTTTTATAGGAGAAGGGGGCAAACGAGCAACGAATCGCCTAATATTATTTGATCCGACGCCCATGGACATCCGCAATGCCAGAGGAACCGCAGTTGAGTTTATAATAAAAAAATGTCATATAAGTAAAAATTTAAGTTTTTTAGAATTTTTCGTTAATTTGTGGTATTTTTCAACCAGTTATATTTGCAATCATGAAGCAATATTTTATGCTTCATGCCAAATTTTAAGATTCTAAATCAAATGACGTACCCTTTAGATTTTGATTCCTTTGCGAATAGTTGCGAGTTTGAAAATAAACACCTTAAATTGCTGTTTCTATTGATTGCGTTGACATAGAAGTTTGATTTTGTTACAGCTTATCCGGCTCGAAGGACGAACATGTGCATCCAGTTCAGCCCCGGAGGACAGTGTGTCCGGACATACAGAACGTAATGCACGGGAGGTGCACTCGCAATTAACAACGGTGCATCCCCAGTGCGAACCATCTAATGCTGGTTAACAAAGAATGAAGGTATATATGCTCTTAACTACCTGACTAAGAATAACTAACATGGTTAGCATGTGCGTGTGTGTTGTGGTGATTGATTTTAACTAGACTACCGAGTGTGCATTTCATGCACTCCAGTCTTCCATACCAGTCTTCCCTGCTTGCGATAGATTTAGCACAGAACACATTTGATCTTCATATTCTGGTCCTTGTTGTGCAATCATGTTTTATCACGCACAGGCTCTTCCTTGGCCATAGTCGTTGTTACGAAATTGTATATATACCTGAGTTGGAAATGTTTTTTTTTTATTTAATGATGTAACTAAAAGTTTACGGTTTTCGCAGTTTATTCTATATTTGTGCTATACGACGTTGCTTTGTGCCAAATTTCAAAATACTGACTTCACAGGAAGTACCCTGTAGGTTTTGATTCTCTTGTGAGTGTAGAAAATTTGCGACATAAACGGCTGTACCTTTTAATTGTGTTTTCTTAGAAGTTTGAATTTTCATAGCATCAAGGGACAGCTTGATATCTTGACGCGTTCCTGAGAAAAATGGTCTTGACAGTTAGACGGACGGCCAACAAATGGATCCTATAAGGTTTCCGTTTTTTGTCTTTCAGGGTACGTCGCCCTAATACTCTTTAACTTTTGTTATTTATTTTAAAAACAAAATAAAAAAGTCAAAAGGACCTAATGCTTATTGCATAAAGTATTCCTCGTAACTATATTTTGCGACCCACAAGTTTGTTCCGCCCAGAAAATCGTTGTTCGCATTTGATATATAAATCCGCCACCATTTGTACCGAAGCAGCCGTTGTGTAGCACTGTCCACAGGAGGCAAAATGTCACTAAGTATGAGGTTTGTTCGAGGTTTTAGAAGTTCTGCAATTTGGTATGTACCTCCTTTAAAATATGTTCTATTGATAAATATTTTAAATCATAGTAATTATATAAATGCGGTGAGAATCAAAATGGCGGATGTATCCTAGCAAATATTATTGTATCTATAATAGTATAAATAAATTGTACCAAAAAAGTACTGTTTAGTACGTCATCCACCATCCACCAATAAAATTACCATCCACTACCACCATAAGTACTTTTTTTATATCATAAGGTGGCAAACGAGCAAACGGCCACCTGAAATCGCTGAAATAGCGAAGTGACCGTTGCCCATAGACATACGCAATTGCGTATGGAGAGAGGAGAGAATGCATAGAAAGAAAATATCTTCCCTTTTCATGCATCCCCTCATCTGGAAAGTCCACTTCCACTTCCCATCCTTTCCTTATAAGATATTTCATTATAATTTCGTTTTTATGATAAGAAGGTATATTTTTTTACAGCGAGGTAATAAATTTTTGGTAAATTTTTTGAAAGTAGATATAATTATATTGCCTAGGTTACACTCGCCATCTTGACTCTCACCATAGGCGAAAGTTTAAATGTTACTTATTAAGCTTTTATTTATTTGTAAAGTAAATAATTATGACACAAAGTGATAGAACACAAATCGAATCAACCGTTAAAATAAGTCGCTAATGCTACATACGCGATTACAATACTTTCATAGATAAAAAACTTATTCCAAGAGCAAGATAAGGATTTTTACCCCTCTGAAACTGCAATGTTTTTCTAATAAAATGTTATTGATGTCCAGGCGCAATACAGCACAATCTTCAAGAGCAGATTGGTTAAACAGAACTCAGCGTTTCAATAACACAGTTCAAGAAATAGTCGCCAATGTAATGGCTAACGGCGAAGTTGCTAAAACACCATCATTAGCCAAACGATTAGTTAAGGTAATTAAACGATTTTACAATTTCTGAAACTAGATCTCGTCGAATTCGCTAAATTTTCAAAGTCAATTGCCCATACGCATTCCTATTAAGTTAAAAGGTTGTCGATGTTAACTTTAAAGGGCAAAGAATGTACAGGGAAAGAATAAATTTCTTTTGAAAACCACTTTCCCTTTCCATCCTCATATTACGCATTATTAGAAAACGTCGCTAAGGGGAAAATAATTAAATTACGCATTTCTATTGTGTGGTTGTACAACAGCTAATGCTGCTTTGGCCTTCGAATGTTGCGACGATATTTTAGATAACCCATATACAACATGTCCCAAAATTCAACGATTCTTTACGATATAATTTGTGGTTAAATTACGAATGTTTTGGTTCCATTTCTGTTCATGTTCATATTTGTAGCCACAATGTCTAACCATAAGGGTATCAAATTATAAGAACATTTAAAATAGTTAATGTAACTTTTAAACAAAAAGAGATAGATTTTTTTTACAATTTTTCCCCATGTAGTTATCGACCTGGCTATACAACAGTACCGGCTTATCGTTGAATTTTGGAACACGCTTTATATGCGTCCTTAACAGTAAAAGGTTGAGTCGCGGTGACTTACTTTTCTTGTATACCTATTTTTAGACATTATTAGTTAGAATCCTTTGGCGCGAATGCCGCGCTTACGTTACCAAATCAAGTGTCAGATTGATTAGTGAGGGGACATAAGCGTTGATATTTTAATAAGATTAGTGTTGCTCCGGTACACCGCACAGGGTCGGATTTTATTCCTAACACTTTATATTTCGTTTACAGTTAATGGAGTACGATACATTATTAAGAGTGCCTCTACAAGGCCACATGACGATGATGGCCTACGAAGTTTTGGAGAATCCAATCAACCTTACCGAGCAGAATTTATATAAAGCGCAAGTTGTGGCGTGCGCTATGGAATTGGTAATTTTTGCCTTTTTTTGTCATGTCTAAATCGGATAGAAAGGACCACAAATAAAGTTGCCTTTCATCATCATTAGTTCACTATACGTCCCCACCGAGGGGCACGGAGCCTACCCTAAGTTAAGGGTGATTAGGCCATAGTCAACCACGCTTGCCAAGTGCGGGTTGGTTGACTTCACACATTTGAGAATTTCTTCTCAGATATGTGCAGGTTGCATCACGATGTTTTTCTTCACCGTAAGAACGTCGGATATATATGTAAATCGGAAATCGAAAAACATATTGGTACATGGCGGGATTCGCACCCAGGACCTGCATATTACAAGTCAGGTGCTTGACCCCTGAGCCACCGACGCTCAAGTTGCCTTTAGTCAATTATAATACGAATGATGTGTTAAAACATCTATATTCAACAGAGTCTGCATTTCATTTTTTTTTATGCAGTCAATATAGTTTGGTAAAGAGGAAAAAAACTAAAGAAAAATTAGGAGTATACCTAGGTATACATTATCTTTGATACTATTGTAGATGTCTCACATTATTCTTCAGTCTAAAAATATAACAAAAAAACGTTATATTGCGAATGCATAATGTTCGCTAATAAATTCAACATTAACACTTTCAGTGCCAATGACTCTTCTACGCAATTTTTTTTTTATATCAGAAGGTGGCAAACGAGCGAGCGGTCACCTGAAATCGCTGAAATAGCGAAGTGACCGTTGCTCATAGACATACGCAATTGCATATGTTTGTTTGCGTTGCCTACCTTTAATCGACGGAGGAGAGGGTGCACAGACAGAAAATATTTTCCCTTTTCTATGCATCCTCTCATCCGGGAAGTCCACTTCCACTTCCCATCCTTTCCTTATAAGAAAAAGGGTGGGAAGGGAAAGAGGACTAAATTTAGCCTCCGGTACGCACACTCATCAGACGAAACGCGGAATGGCTTCCACTTCACGCCTGTCTTATGTGTGGTCGTGGTATTTCACCAGTCGAGCCGGGCCAATTCGTGCGAAGATGTTAAAGCGGGCTCTACCACTGTTAATGTCAAAGAAATGCAAATTCACTGTCATAAGAGAAATAAGTACTGGCATGGAATGTGTTAATCTATCACTGAAAGTTTTAAGTACTCATAAAAACGATAATCAATTTTAATGTAAATGAAATCTAGATGATATTTTTTTCCAGACACAATCACATTTTTTAATAATGGATGACTTCGAGGATCAATCAAAGACACGGCACGGACGAACTTGTTGGCATTTGTTACCTGAAGTGAAGAATTTAGTAATTAACGATGCCACCATGTTCCGAAGTCTTATAAACGACATACTGAGAACTCATTTGGAAGATCGACTTTACATCAAAATGATAGATATATTCAACAAGGTACTTCTGTTTGTTATATCTACTAATTTCTAGAACTTTCCTATGACCGCGTGGAAGATTTCATATTTTTTGCATTTGAAATGCCACAGTAAAAAAGTCAAAACTCTAAATCGAAATACTGTTAAATAATGCCATGATGCAAGCATAAAGTTTCATTTTTTTTAACTTATAAATATTTTAATAAAAGATTTCAATATAATTTTTAAGCCCAAACATTTTCCGAGGTTCTCATAATATACTATCAAATTTTATTTAAAACTAACTATCGCCCGCGACTCCGTCCGCGCGGGTTTAAAAATAGATGTTGGCCGATTCTCAGACCTACTCAATATGCTCACAAATTTTTATGAGAATCGGTCACGCCGTTTCGGAGGAGTATGGGAACGAAAATTGTGACACGAGAATTTTATATATAAGATCTGGCTGTAGATTTTTTTTTACACTTTTTAATAACTTTAATGTTTAGATAAAAATGTTATTTACAGATGAATTTATTTATCGCGATTGGCCAGCACTTGGACACTATGATTCCTATAACAAAAGATTTTTCATTGTTCACTCAAGAGACTTATGATAAAATAATAAGATATAAATGCACATTCTATTGTTTGGAAGTTCCAATAATGTTAGCTTTAGTTCTATGCCAAAAGGACAGTGAGGCAACTTTTAAACGTGTGTCCGATATCGTCCGTGACGTTGGTGCCTTGTACCAAATGATGGTAAGTATCAAATAATAAAAAACCTACATATTAATGAATCTATATTACCCAAGGTCATCAAGAGTGAACTGATGGAAGGGAACAATTTTGCTATTTTTTTTTTGTTGTATTGTTTTCTTTGAGGCCAGTGTTTTCTGCAAGTTTGTATAAATTTAATTTAACTCAATTGTGACGAAAGATATTAAAAATTATAAAAATACCAAACTTATAATCAGTCCTATTGAATTGATTTTGGCAAGTCAGCTGTCTTTCGATTTTTAATTCCTCTAGAGCATTTTATTACATACTAGCCGTCGCTTGCGACTCCGTCCGCGCGGTATTAAAAGAAACTTAATTAGCCTATGTGTTCTTCTAGACTATATTCTATATCCATGCCAAATTTCATCAAGATCCGTTGAGCTGTTCTGGAGATACCTTCAAACAAATATGCATCAATCTAAACATTCGCAATTATAATATTAGTAAAGTTGTTATATACATAAATGTAATAGAGTTATGTTATTATTTTACAGAATGATTTCACGGAATTCGGTGACGGAGAGACTATATCTGATAAGACCGGTACTGACATACAAGCAGGGAAGTGCTCATATTTCGCCGTGAAGGCATTGGAACGCGCTACACCTGAGCAGAAGGAAATATTCAAAGCCTCATACGGCAGCTGGGACCCCGAAGACGTTAAACGGATAAAAAATCTATACAAGGAATTAGATTTAATATCCCTTTATAAGGCACAACATAATTTAAAATACAACCGGTTTTTGAAAAATGTTAATGAACTACAATCAGACGATGTCCTGACACCAGAATTGTTCCTTAAATTGATGGAGGCTTCACAACTAAACAAATGGAATATATACTAGCCCACGAAAGTAGGCAGCACTTTTTAATAATACTAAATAGTTTTTTAAATCCAATGCTCAATCGATCTGTTTGATTGTATATCAGTTTAAACATTTTTATAAATCTTACTAATATTATACATGCCAATGTTTAGATGGATGGATGGATGTTTGAAGGTATCTGTAGAACGACTGCATAGATCTCGCTAAAATTTGGCCTAGATGTAGAAAATAGCCTGGAAGAACACATAGGCTACTTAAAGTATTTTAATTCCACAAAGACAGAGTTGAGGGCGACAGTTAGTTTTATTTGTTACTAACAAAAATTCTTTTGGCCTTTTTTATGATGTCATCTTCACATAACTATTCGTTGTTTTACTTCTTTCAAATAAAATAAACATTTTAGTTGAAGGAAAGTCATGACTTTTATGTTAAAAAAACATCACGTTTTTTTACTCTCATCAATATTAATGGAAGGTCAATTCAGTGTTTCTTAACTGTACAAAATATTGTTGTGTGTTCCTTCAAAATATTATTTTCTAAAGGCAGGAATATTCGTTGATTCTTAATATACTCTTACTATCTTACTAATATTATAAATGCGAAGGTTTGATGTTTGGTAGAACATATCTCCGTAACAGTTGCATAGATGTCGCTGATATCTATATATATATATATATAAAAGAAAGTTGTGCTAGTTACATTATTTATAACTCAAGAACGACTTTACCGATATGGCTGAAATTGGTGAGGTGGTAGCTTAGAGCATGGAGACGTACATAGGATACTATTTATTCATTTTTTTTGAATTTATGTCTCGCAGAGCTGCTTTTTATTTAACTTATCTATATATTAAGTTTTTTTTATATATCCACGCGGACGGAGTCGGTGGTGACAGCTAGTTTGGCATAATTGTAGAAAATACCCTGTAAGATCACAAGGGTTACTAATTAAGCTTTCTTTTAATTCCGCGCGCACGAAGTCGCAGTCCACAGCTAGTTTCAATCATAAATTAATTATAAGAATACTACTAAAAATAATAATATAATTAAATATCTTTTTAAAAATGGCTATGGGTATATCATTCCGCCTTTCTTTACGAAAGTTTTAGTTAGAAGAAGTAAAGACTCTTATTATGTAGACCCGGTATATATAGGATATAACTGTCGCCCACGACCCTGTCCGCGCGGAATTAAAAAAAAACATAATCAGTAGGCTACGTGTTCTTTGAGATTATGTGCTACGTCTATGCCAAATTTTAGCCGGATCCGTTTAGTCGTTCTGGAGATACTTTCAAACATCCATACATCCATCCATCTAAACATTTGCATTTATAATATTAGTAAGAAGTAAGATATTCAAGAAGTATGGTAACTAATATTGTAACACGAGAATTTTTTATATAATATTATTTTATACAACAGAACAGTGGTAGAGCCCGCTTCAACATCTTCGCACGAATTGGGCTGGTTCACCCGGTGAAATACCACGACCACACAGAAGACAGGCGTGAAGTGGAAACAATTCCGCGTTTCGTCTGATGAGTGTGCGTCCCCGAGGCCTAATTTTAGTTCTCTTTCCCTTCCTACTATTTCTCTTATAAGGAAAGGATGGGAAGTCGATATTCCGGATGAGGGGATGCATAGGAAGGGAAAATATTATCTTTCTGTGCATCCCCACCTATCAAAGTATTGCAACGCATCTGCAATTGTAGATGTCTATGGGCATCGATCGCTTTGCTATTTCAGCGATATCAGGTAGCCGCTCGCTCATTTGCTAACTTATAATATAAAAAAAACACAACTTTTCCATCACATCAGACTCGATTGTAATAAAACTGTTCCACCGGTATAACATACGTGGTTCGGATATTGTCTATAGATGATTATTCATAGTAAGGTCGAAGTCAAGTCGAGGAAGAGGAGGGTTAGGATTTTGGTGCGCCACCTCTGCAGCTCTTTTAGTCGGTGACGTTGTGGAGCTGCGGGGGGTACCGGTTTATCTTGCCGCACTGCAGCCGTTCGCTGTCGACGGTGACCGTGTCGGACGATTTGCCAATAGGGGATGACAGGGCGGAATTTCACGCTCTTCGCCCAGAAGTGGTAGATTTTTGGACCTGTCCCTTGAGTCTAAGGGCCACTTTTGGCAGAAATTAGGGGGTCTTGACCTCCCTCAGAGAAGAAGCTGCATAGGTGGCTGGTGCAGACGGTGTCACTCACCACCATGCGCAAGAGGAATCAGAGGAGTCTAGAGGGGGCTATGTATAGCGGGAGATTCCCAACTAACCACCGTGGTCTCTCTAAGGCAAGCGTACGCGAAAAGGTTTATCCTCTGGAAAATAAATACTTCGATAAAACTGGTAGCCAACGAGTTTTTCTAGCGACTTGGGGAAACAAGTGAGGTATGAAGGTGTCACAGATAGAAATGCATAATTTGCTCCTACCCTCTCAATCCCTACAATTGTCTCAAACCTCCCACATCCAGGTATCAGTAATAAAACATATGCACCTATTTAGCCAAATTCTTTGAGTTAAAAATGAAAGGAATGATATTATTCTACGATTGTATAATTATTACTGTTAATAGCACAAAAAAGGTCTAATTTTTTTGGGACATTAATATATGTATTATACTTATAAACATTACATCAGTAAAACATTTAAAATCAGAATCTTGTAATATGCTGCATGATTCTTCATGTATAACTTGCGACCCACAAGTTTGTTCCGCCCAGTAGATGTATGTATGGGTTGACTATATTAATCCACTTCCAAACCATCAGCCGAGCAGCTGTTGACAGACACTATACAGTGAAGGGAACACAGTTAAAAAAATTATAGAAAATAATAAAAAGTCGGGTAAAAATTAATAAAAAATGATACTAAGTAGGTGGTTTGTTCGAGGTTTTAGAAGTTCCGCAATTTGGTATGTACCTCTTTGTTTTATGTTTTCTTGAAAAATAATAATATAATAATTATTTAAAATATTCAAATATCATACTAATCATACGCCATATTTACTTAATAATATTCAAAATGCGTCAGCTTAGATTCTGAATGAAAGACACAGAGATAAATTATTGTCTAGAATAGCACATAGGCTTACAATAAGTAAACGTGTAAAACAACTAATCGCTAAATAAAAACTTTCTGATAATATCTGACAGAGACTCCTAGAAGACTCTGGAACAATACGAATTAAATGAATCGGATCATTCTTTTAGACTGCAGTCGATCACAATAGAAGTTATAAAAATTTTAAGAAAAAATTAAAACCGATTTACTAAAAAAATATTCTTAAAAAAAAAATCTTTAGCAAAATGCACTAAAACGTATCAAACTCGAAAGGAAAAAAATCTTTTGTGTAATCTTACTTAATGTTATATATGCGAATGTTTAGATGAATGGATGGATGTTTGTTAGAAGGTATCTCCAGAACGGCTACATGGATCTCGCTGAAATTAGTCATAGATGGAGAACTTAGTCCGGAAGAATACATAGGCAATTATATTTTTAATTTCTCGAGGACAGAGTCGTGGGCGACAGTTAGTATATCTATATTGTGAAATTATTGTAATTTGAAAATCGGCCGAGATAGATGTGGCATTTAAGTTTCTACTCTACTACTACTACTACTACTACTAAGATAATGTTCTCTCAATAAAGGGAAACCATACGGTATTTTTATCTACTTAATGTATCATTTTCTCTGTGTTTTTCTCTAATATATTTCTTTTTGACTTTTGTGTAAAACGGAAAGTAAAGTATCTGCTTTTTCAATAAAAATTATTGATACCAGGCGCAATCCAACTCAACAAACGCAATCTCCAAAAGCAGATTGGTTGAACAGAACGCAGCGCTTCAATAACACAGTTCAAGACATAGTCGCCAATGTAATGGCTAACGGCGAAGTTGCTAAAACACCATCATTAGCCAAACGATTAGTTAAGGTAAAAAAATACGTTCCTGCCGAAGTAAAAGGTATTCAGAATTAAACTGCAGCACTCGCAGAGACGTAACTTTAGTTTCTGAGACTAAAATTTCTGTATAAAATATATACTCATCCTTGTGTTTATCTTTGACAAGTGATAACAGTATGTTTTTATTGGAGATATTCGTCTCAGAAACCCACGATAAGAGTAGATTTTAGTATGAAAATTATTTCTTTTTTAATTTAAAATGTTAGTAGATTTTTTTGTAAATTTACTAATATTTCTTTTACCTTCCCAACTAAGCTCTAGGCTTGTGCTAGGATATGATTTACGGCAATAGTCGAATGGCGGGATTCCAACCCCCGATCTCGTGATTGGGAATCCGCACCCTTAACCATTAGGCTATTGACGCTTTTTATATTATGTGACTTTATTGAATATGTCAGTTAGTAATGTTGTAAAATCTTTATTATATTGATACTGTGTTTGTTAGATTTTTTTATAACATTTAGTCACAATTTAAAAAAAAATCTTTCGCAGTTAATGGAATACGATACATTATTAAGAGTGCCTCTACAAGGTCACATGACGATGATGGCCTACGAAGTTTTGGAGAATCCAATCAACCTTACCGAGCAGAATTTATATAAAGCGCAAGTTGTGGCGTGCGCTATGGAATTGGTAATTTTTTTGATACAGATTTAATTTCAGATAGATTGCTTTAAATTAAAGCATCACTTATCAATGGTGAATGATACCAAAATCTTTGTATAAAACATACCGTCATCCCTTTCCCCGTTTAAAGCATATTGTTAAATTTGACAAAAAACAGACTTAAAAATATGCTTTAAACAGGAGTTTTTGTATGAGAAAATTACCGTTAATAAACTGATTTTGCTACATAGTAGGTTTCATATCAGGTTAATTAACCTACTATGTATGAAATCGTTAACCCATTTATAAACACTAATTGATTTAATTAACAAAAACGGTACTCATCAAAATAATATTCTTTTAATGTTATTAATATTATAAATGAAAATGTTTTGATGTATAGATGGTTGGATGTTTGTTTGAAGTTATCTCCAGAACTGTTGTATGGATCTTGCTGAATTTGGGGTAGATGTAGAATATAATCTGGAAGAACATAAAGGCTACTGATTCAGTTTTTTTTATAAGAGAAGGAGGCAAACGAGTAGTGCGTACACTGAGGTGATCATCGACATCCATGGACATCTGCAACACCAAAGGAACCACAGATAACCACCTAACCCCGCGCGGACAGAGTCGTTGGCGACAACTAGTTTAAATAAATGATAGATGATGTTTTTTTCTAGGCACAATCATATTTTCTTATCATGGATGACTTCGAGGACCAGTCTAAAACGCGACACGGACAGCCATGTTGGCATCTGTTGCCCGAAGTCAACAATTTAATATTGAACGACGCCTGCATGTTCCGAAGTCTTGTAAACGACATATTAAAAGAACATTTGGACGGCTCCGTTTATACCAAAATGATAGATATATTTAATGAGGTATATATCTGATACCAACTAAGATGAATTCAGAAATTGAATAAAATAATCAATGTTAAAGACCTTATAATTACTGACATTGGCTTACATACATACATCATCAGCTCACTATACGTCCCCACTGAGGGGCTCGGAGCCTACCCTAAGTTAAAGGTGATTAGGCCATAGTCAACGACGCTGGCCAAGTGGGGGTTGATTGACTTCACACATATCTTTGAATTTCTTCTTAGATATGTGCAGGTTGCATCACGATGTTTTCCTTTACCTTTACCGTATGAACGTCGGAAAATGTACATATGTAAATCGGAAATCGAAAAATACATTGGTACATGGCGAGGTTCGAACCCAGGGCCCGCATATTGCTAGTCAAGTGCTTGACCCCTGAGCCACCGACGCTCTTGCATTGGCTAAACTCTACATAACTATAATAATAACTTGCCTTGTACTATGCAGGGTGAAAGGGTAGAGGATAAGATTTTGATCCCTAACATATACAAAGATTAGAAGAAATATAGAGTTATTTTCACCACACCCCTGCCTTCTGTGTCCTAGGTATTGCACTGGTCGAGGTGAACATTCGCGCAACCGCTAATACTGCTACAGGCACAGCCATTGACATAAATTGTTTTATTTTTCAGATGTATTTATTTGTAGCTATTGGCCAGTACCTGGACAACACAATTCCTAAAGCAAAAGATATATCTTTATACACACATGATAATTATAGTAAAATTGTAAGATACAAATGCACGTATTACTGTTTAGAAATACCAATAATGTTAGCATTGATTTTATGTGAAAAAGACAATGAGCCAACTTTCCAGCGAATCAGAGATATTGTCCGTGACGTGGGCTTCTTATATCAAATGATGGTGAGTATTGAATAATAACAACGAAAAAAAACAGCAAGTATTGATTGCTAATGGTCAGATCTACTTAACAATTACTCCATACATGTAAATTTTGTTGGTCACGTTTGTAATTTGTGATAATTTAAAAGCGTAGATCTTACATGAAATGCGCTTTGATTCGTAAGAATCGACCGAAAAGCTAGACCTTGGAGATGTATATTAACATATGTAAGAAGTAATTGACTAGGCAAATAAAATTGTGATAAAAAATTGGCATCGAATAAAATTGGACTATATTAATTATATTGATAGCGTATTGCCAATATTTGTTACTGACACGTTTTTGTTACGTAAATAAGAAGTGAATAGTAATTACTAATTTGTAGTCCTACATAAATCAGCTTTGAACCGGCTCAAATGTTCGGCTCATATAATTTGAACCGTTGATCTGCGGTTCAACAACTAAATTGGCAGCTCTCATTGCGATGTACTATTACTGAGTGAGTCGACGCGCATGCAGGCTCGCGCTCGAGCTGCATGGTGACTGGCAGGTTGCAGCTCGAAATTCAAATCATAATTCTATACAGGAACAAATTGAGCTTAGCTGCGAGTCGGTTCACTGATCTGCTTCACGCATGTGAGCCGTGTGATCTACAGGTCACAAATGTTCTTTGATTTACCCATATATATTAATTTTCAGAATGATTATACGGACTTGAGCAATGAGGAATCTAAATCTGGAAAAACTGGTAGTGACATACAAGAAGGAAAGTGCACTTTTTACGCCGTAAAGACGTTAGAACGCGCGACACCAGAGCAGAAAGAAATATTCAAATCATCGTATGGTAGCTGGGACCCCGAACACGTTAAACGCATAAGGAACCTTTATAAAGAGTTAGATTTAATTTCCCTATATAAAGATCAACATAATTTTAAATACAACCAGTTTTTAAAAAATATTAATGACCTTCCATCAGACGATATCCTGACTCCGGAATTGTTCGTGAAAATGATGGAGGCTTCCAACTTGAACAACTGGGAAATATACTAGCCCTTAAGAATTGTCAGATTATTGCTTAAATGTAAATAAATGTTACTGTTATTGTAAAATGGTTGAATCATAAATTATATAATATTATTAATATATTTATTTCTTTTAAATGATTTATTTATTGAATACAAACGTAATGAAGATAAATGCTTAGATTTTATTGTATTTTAAATTTAATTACAATAATTCTTTTTCAGTCAACGTCACGATTATTTAATTTTTTTTGGCTTGTTCTCATTATTGTGGTAATATATGATTTTTTTTTGTTTTAAGACGTGAAAGAAAGAACAATGTGAGATAGAATGAGACATAAAAATAGATAAACGCAGTTGATGCGGAGAGGTGCAGCCCAAATTCGTCCCTTTTCCCTTCCCACCTTTTTCTTATAAGGATTGGATAACTTCTAACATCCATTCATACGTACATACATCCAAACGTTTGAATTTATATATTTTTTTTTATTATTTTATTTATAAAAACTGCATAGCACTCTTACAGTATACAACGTATTTGACACTATACGCACTTTACATAATATTAGCAAGATTCAAAAAACTTTAATTAGATTTTG